ACTTCTGGAGTATCTCTACTAGGATCAACAGTTATAAATAGAGGTTGAGCTAATACAATATTTTTATTTTCTGAAAAATGTAAGCTCTATGTGTACTTTATTTTTATTTGCAGAACGTTAATTAAAATTCATTGTTTAGTGTATATAATAAATATAATAAATAATATAATAAATAAACAATATTCTATGATCTTTTAATTCATGCAATATTTTAATACCATGTTACTTTGTGGCAATTAAATGCTGTTATTAATTTTATAAACTTACATACATATATTTTATTTATTTATTTACATTTATTATTTATTAATTATTCGTGTCAATGTTATAAAAAAAATTTTTAATATTAACTGAAAAACATCAGGTCTTACCAAGCTCTTCAACGACTAATGACATTTTTTCAATTTCATCTGGACATATATCTGGACAATGAGTAAAACCAAAATAAATCAATAACCACTTGCCCAGAAAATCTTCAGATTTTACTAATTTCCCTTCAGAATTCAATAATTCAAAAGTTCCTCCGATACTAGCTTTACCAATTTGACGTTTGCGTTCTTTCTCTAAACGTTGATTTTTCAATGATTTTAAATACCGCGTATATAACAAAAGTGAACCACTTAAAACAGCTGTAAATCCCAAAATTTTCCAACTAATAGGAGATCTTGTGGATTGTTCGCTTTCTTTTGCTGATTCCATAAAATATTTATCGAATCGTGGGCCTGTGTGTATATATTGATTCTGAAACCAAAAACTATGGGTTATTTTATTTGTAGGCGCATTAATATCTATAAATATACCATTGTTGAATATGAATTACGTTACATAAACATTTTACGAATGTTTATTGAGAAAATCTAATTTATTAAACTTACTTGACATAAATATTAATATTAAATATTCAAGTTAATTATTAAAAAATAAAATAAAAAGGAAAACATCTATAAGCGATGGTCGTGGTAATTAAAATGTAATTATAATACAAATATAATAAGGAATAAATAAAAAAATCATTTTACTAATAATGATAATTACTAATGTAACCTTAAAAATTGTATTAGACACATTCACAATGATTAAAATGATTTTAACAACATTAATTATACATTATACAATATACATTATACATTTTGTGATTCGAAAACGTTCATTCAATATTTAATGGTAAGATCGGAGTAATTTTGAAATACAGAGAATATACCGAAACTATTGCTCGACCAAATAATCATAATTAAAAAGTAATTTAGTATTTACTTGAATTGCTAAAATTCTTTTATTATTCGGCTTCCGTCTTAAAGTACGGAAAATATAATTGATCATAGTCATGGTTAATTATGTTTCGCTATTTTTTCAATCGCTTATAAAGGTTAGTCGGCAAATTCGTTAATTTAAAAACATGATTTTTATAATTTCGCCAACTTATGAAGGACTTCTGCGTTATTAATAACTCTTTTAATGGAATAATAAAGTTAATTCTACACTCGGATAATCAGCGGAACGATATTCACTAATAAGATATTGAATACTCGGTGAAATATACTAATAAACGAAAAATGTCTGCTTGTAATTTTTATCGTAAAAAATATTTTAAGCTTCCACGAGACATCTTGCGTATAACAGTGAAAGTATTTTTAAATGTGCTTCCATTATTACTCAGAAGAGCGCAATGAGATTTAGCTAGTTGTAATTACTTATATCAGATGAGCTTGAAGCATATTTGTGGATTAATAAGTATCCGAATAATTTCCCTATCATCGTATCTTGTTTATTATTGTAAAATCAGGGCATTATTAAAATGGCGATGAATTTAGACAATTCATATATAGGTAAGATTTAAATAGTTTGTTTAAATTATTCCGTGTGTGATGTTTTTATTTGAATAAATAATTTCTAATACTTGTATAGGACCATATTTGCAGGATTGGTTGAAGTATATCCGCGAGAGTTACAATGCCGAACATCAATTGATTTCTAATGGGAATGAATTTTGTATTCCTTATTCAGGTTAATTCTCAACTATATCTTACTTACAGAATTGCGTATGTATTGATGAATTTACGTCGACAAGTGTGTATACATAAATTCATGCGTACATATATTGCATATATATATATATATATATATATATATATATATTAAATTCATGCGTACATATATATATATATATGCATATTAGCAAATACATGTGTAAATACAGCTATAAAGGTATAACGAACTCATTATGATTAATTTATTAATTTATTAAATTAGTTCGTGGTAAACTATTTTAAGGATTTTAAGAATTTTTTTGAACTAATACGAATACTATCGTATAAATCTATCTAAATAATTAATATCTTTTATTCGGATACGACATTACAAAATATTTAGTTTAATTAAACGGTCTGAATTATTATTATTCGATTCGTTTCATACATTTTTGCTTCGTTTCACAATATTTTCTCAACATTCTTTAAATTATGCGCTAATAACTGTTTTAAACACATTCAAATGTATTTGGATTTATCTGATCCATTTTCATAAATTCTCACTAAAATTTATATGTTTTATATAGACGTACGCTTATATTTTCGTAAAGTATGGAGCATGTATGCTTCTATTTGCAATAGAGAAATCATAATAATTTAATTATCATAATATTAAAACGAATATATAAAATAATTTTTAAAAAAATATCACACATAATTAAAATGATAATGTATTGCTTTAACTTTTAAATTATTCACATTACATTGCTATATTAAATTATATAAATAATTAAATAATATATGATTAATGTTAATATTGATAATATTAAAAATATATTCACATAACTCTTAAAATAATCTTAAAGTTACGAAATTCTTAATAAAGAAATACTAAATATCTATTTAATTTACTTCTTATTAATATAAGTATAATAGTACGTTGAAATATTAAAATTTACATAAATATGAATATAAGTGAATATTTTATATTAGCTTTTATGCACACACTCCAATCTTTTATAATGCTCGACTCTTTTTACTGTGTATTCCGTTAATAATAATAAGCAAAATAGTCAAAGTCCTTTTATTACTTTGTTAAATGGCAAATAATAGCATTTTAGAATGAAAAAAAAAAAATAAATAAATAAATACAACACATGTGCTTGTGGCTATGTACAATCTTATATTGTTGATGAAAAATTGAAAAAATTAAAACGTTAAAAATGTCTAAATAAATTTATGTAAAATATTGTCGATACTTCGCACTCTTGTTTTATTGATCTTAATCTTAATCCTGTGTCTAAAGTTCAAAAATTATTAAATCCTCATATAATCAATAAAGTATTAAAATATAATATATATATATATATATATATATATATATATAAAAGATAAGTATATTAGGATAATTTCAAATTGAAATTATTAAAATTGACTATTAAAAAAAGACAGTAAGAAATATAATATAAATTAGCACAAACGAAATAATGAAATGAAAATAATACATACATACAAATATTTTCATGGAGATAAATGATAAAAATGATGAAAGTATAGAAATATAAATGACGAAAGAAATAATTGAAAAAGCGCCAAATCAAAATATTGTTATCGTTAAAAAAAATTGAATAGTATATTTTTACATATATTGTCAATTTTAGTGAAATATTATATTATTGAATATATAACTTTTATCATACTCTTTTCTTAAAGAAAATTATTAATTTATAATGCATAATTTTGAAAGAAAGTCATTATTTAATAACAAAATTAATAGAATTAAAGTATATTTCCATTAAGTTAGGCATTGCCATAGTATTATCCATATTAAAATACATACGTATCAATTTGATTAATACTATTGTATATCACATAAACGTGATAGAGCTTATGAATATTTTATAATCTTTAAAGTTTTTAAGAAATCTTAAATTAAAAAAAAAAAAATTCTTCTTACCAAATTTATGCTCATTTTTAGGATAGAAAAAATACTTTTGTTATAATATGCATTTCTCTAGATAAAGAATTTTATTTCTCAATGTATTACAGCATCTTTTTCTACAAATTCTACTTTGATAGATGCTAATATATTATATATTTGATATATCTATAGAATATAATATAATTTCATAAAATTTTATTTTAGCTTTACTTACATTTTTTATATTTAATTTAACTACTTATCAAGGCTTCTGTCAGTATTTACATTTAGGTTCGATCAATTGTTCCGTAAATATTTATTAAAAATAAAGACATTCTTTTTAAATAACTTAAAGCTCTTTCATTTTTATAAAATTCTGTTTAATAGACAACAAACGACTGTCTATGATTTTTTTTTTTGTATATTTATATAGCAAAATCTGTACTCAACCGTGTAGTAAACTATTTTTTGTTGAGGGTTTCAACGTTGTTATTTTTTCAGATATTTGCTGATTGGATTTGTGGATTTATGGATTTATCACAGTAAAAATTGTACAGAACTTCGCTTTAAAGAAAGAAGATTTCAGTCTTTATCATTATAGGAAAAAAAATGTTGTTAATATTTCTTCTAATTTACAACCATTTTATGTAATTTTTAACTATTCCTTATCCTATATAATTTTCGTGTTAGTTTCCGAGAGACTTGAATTACTTGAGTTAAGCTTTAATAAAGTTTATATTTAGAAAATAGATAGATTAAAAATGATGTGTATAGATTAAATAATATTGTTTAAAAAATAATATAGATTGTTACAAAAATCGATGAAAGAATGTGCAAAAGTGATCATTAATTCTTTGCTCGCAATCGTTTTGTCTTTCTGATTATTCTAAGAAATTATCAATATTGTAATTTCCGTAACTTAATATTTATTTAAAATTTCATAATCTTAAAGATACCAATTTTATTTGGAATAGAATGTATTAATCTGGCATGATATTATATTAGTAATTTTATCAACAATTTTTTGATACACTAGTCACTATTCTTATTGCTATTGATAAAAAATAGAAGTTCATTTCATATTTCCTTTATAGTTGCATCACACATGGAGAACTTATATAATAATTATTTTAAATTACTATTAAAGCTACGGTGTATTTTTATTCAGTAAAAAAAAAAAGAAAAGAAAAAAAAAAGAAAACATTTGGACGTTTATTATATAATAATTTCACTTTTTCAACAATTAGCAAAACTCTGCATTATCTTAAGGATTTCTCGAAAGTTAAAAAATTAACGTTAAAGACTGCATATAGTGACAAACATTTTTTTTTTTTTTTTTCATTTTACATAATTATTCGATAAGAATATTAAATACTTTGAACAATTACGATTTTTTTTAAGGAGTACAGGTGGAAATGGTGCGAGCTATATTTATCATAAGCAATAGCTTCCATATCGAGCCATATGCCAAGTATCTAGCGGTTCATCTCCTCGATAAGTACATGAGCTGCCTCTTCTGGGAATTAATTTCAAGCTGTTCAGAAGTGACAGAGAGCACGATGCGTCAACTGTACGATAAAATGTCTTGTCAAATGAAGCTTGTGCTGGCTTCTTGTTTGCAGATTGCCAGCAAAGTTGACCTTTACAAGACAGGTCTTGGTATCTCACAGGTGCAAATTATTATAAAATCATAAAAATAATTTAACACCGTCAGATTAACATAGTCATATTAATTTAAGTACAGTTGGATTTATTATAAATGTTATACTTATCACCTACCTGACTGTCACGAATAAAAGCTGACAAGCAAAGACTTGCATCTAATGTAAATGAAAACAATAGAATAAATCCATTTGTTAATTATTAATTTATAAAGAAGCGATAAATTAAACGTATTGTTATTAATAAAAGCTGCTTATGTTAGAACGAAATATGTTAGGGAAAAAAAACATGCATATCTATGTAGGTATACGCATAGTGAAATTCAAATACAAAGCAAATACAAAAAAATACAAAGGAAATTCGCTTGAAAATGATAATATCTCAATTGTCCTTAAAATCGTTCCTTAAAATTGTATAGTATATATATATATATATATATAAATAAATTTGTTTAAAGATAGATAGATAGATAGAGAGAGAGAGAGAGAGAGAGAGAGAGAGAGAGAGAGAGAGAGAGAGAACAATTGTTATGTAATACATCACAGATTCAAGACCTGCTGCAGTCCATTGACCCGGAGCGAGACTACAGCAAATCAAGTATCTCCTCTTGTGAACTACGTATCCTTAAGAGTCTGGATTTTCGCCTACCCCTCTGCCTGCCCATTCACGCGGTGGAAATCTTCTTGGCATTCGCGGAGCTCTCGTCGAAGCACCTTATCCGCGACACCTGCATCAATCTTCTGGACATTGCTTATCTACGCCACGAAGAAGTGTTCCGGCAGCTGCACCTCATGGCCCGTGGCTGCGAATACGACAAAAGCAAGCGTGTCTGCAGAGACTTTCTAGCTCTCGAGGCAAGTGCCCCTTTCATCGGAGCGGCCGTCGTCGTTTGCTCGAATTTCTTCTTCCACCTGAAGCGTAAGGTTGTTGAGAGCCTTGCGACAAGACTTGCCAGTCTCATTGAAATGAGTCCGATTGACATCAACATTATGGCCAATGTTTTATTCACTTATGCCGTCGACGAGGAGGACTTTAAACGCCTACAGCAGAGACAATTATAAATTCTCAATTAAATCTGATTGGTTTATTATATGGAGATATAAAAATACTTTAAAATTTTGCGATATTTGTATAGCTGCTATCGCATACATTGATTATCCCTATTTAAAAGTAATGCATTTTTTATTGGTATGTCAGAGCTTTGCCGATAGCCGTATTCTATCTATACATACTTATTTATAAGAAATAGCTCGATTTAATTAGACAGTTATATTTATTAATTAGAAATACATTGATTTATAATCAAACTGTACAAAAAAAAAAAAAAAAAAAAAAAAAAAAAAAAAAAAGAAGACTAATACTAAAATAACGTTTTTTACGCCTAGGCTTTATCATTTCGATAGTGCATTACGTGTAAGAGTTACTATACGTTATTTCATCATTACTGCATTAAATAGTCTTTTAATACAATCTTAGTTTAATGAAATTTTCTTTAAAATTCGTAGGTTATTTTGAATGTATACAAATGTACTAAACGAATAAGTACAGTAAACGAATAATAAAACTTTAATGTTATACGAGACGATTAAACACGTATATCGAGACATATATTACTAGTATTCGTTAATTTCATTAGAGGGACAAATTTTTGTTTTTACTTTTCTATTTAGTTTTATAATCTGAGAGCTAGAAAAATATTGGATAACTCGGAAGGCCAATCATAAAATAGTGTCATTAATAATTAACTATTGAACATTTGATATAATTTTTTTTCTATCATAATACATATGATATCCAAGATAATAATACTACGTAACTTAAATATTTCATCATTCTCATGACTTATTTATTAATTTTTTTTTTCATTACTTTTACAATATAGAATTTCGACATATAAAAAGCATGTTATTTTATGTGAAAGTTAATCAAGTACAACATATCTATTATTAATTGCTTACGCTTATGTTTATTCAAATAATTATTTCATAATATTAACTCAAACTATCATATTTTAATTTTCTAATTTAATTTATCGATTGAATTTAAGATATATCCATTATTAAATTAGTTTAAAGAATCGAAATAATAAATGTTAAATTAAAATAGTGGCTCGGTATAAAATTGAAATATAAACATAATTATAATGATTTCAACCTACTCATATATTATTTATAATTATTATATTTAAGTAATTATATGTTTAAATTTCAAAATGCTAAAATAGTCTTAAGCAAAGTGCCTTGTATTTAGCTGTTTATATTATATGTCAAAATCAAGTAAATTACAAGCAAAATTACTTTTATTTAGGATATTTTTATTTTCTACGCATTTTTATGTAAGAAAAAATTGTAAAACTCAGAAAAACAGTAGAATTTGCGAAGACTAATAAACGAAAAGAAAACTAATGTTACAATCACTAATGAGTTCTAATCGAAGTACGATAAGACTGAAAATTTAACAATGTTAATTTCTATAATTCTTTGGTCATAAAATCAAAAGTAAATATTGAAGCAAAGCAAAGCCAATATTTGATATTTATGAAAATTAATTATTATTATTCAATTAATAAATGTTTTATTTTTTATCTTATAGTGAAACAATATCGTTAGTGTGTACTCAAGTATAACTTATAAAAGTGCAGTTTTTCAAAGAAAATTTGTAATTTAAAAAATTGAAATAAATGTTTAACAAGAGCATAAGGAAAATGTTGTATATTATATTAAATAATATCATACATTAGTAACGCTGGTAAATTAAGTTAAAATAGAGTAAGACGAATGACATTCTCATATCATTGAGTGGATTGACTTTTCATTTCCCAATAATAAATGGTAAAATAAATAATAGTGAAAATTATTGTTGTTGTTGTTGTTGTTGTTGTTGTTGTTGTTGTTATCCTTATCGTAGTCATTATTAATGTCATCGCTTATTAATTTATATATCGAAAGTATTTCGTTGGTCGATTCAATGATAATTTATTTAAATTGTTAGCATATCCGTTTATTGTTACCAAAATAATAAATAATAATTTTAAGAAATTTTCTTGAAAAATAAGAAACATAATAAATCGTAAGAAAATATTATGTAATTAATGAAAGCATAAATAGGAATTTAAACAAAGTATTTAATATGGCATTTAAGCAGAGAAAAATTACTTAAATGTTGAATGTTAACATAATTTTTATTAATCAAATTTATGCGACATATAAACGACTGTTGATATAAATATAATGAGCCAAAATATTACAAAATTTCTGTGTAGTGAGTGCACACACACAAAAAAAAAACTACTTTCTCAATACAATGAGATGTATTGCGATACATATCGCGATAATATTTACAATAAATCACAAACTACTTGTTGTATTTATTATTATGATAGTATTATTTGATGGAAGACTCAATTAATTAAACATTAAGCATAAATAGTAACGCAGAATAAGATGTAGTATATATCTTTTTCAAATATAAAACATAATTTTAGAAATTTCAGTTATTTTTCTTAACGGTAGTAATTTGAAAATGATTAAATTATAGTTGGAGTGATCAATCGAAGTTAGATCAAACCATTTTGGAAGATAATTTTCATTTTACTAAAAAATGAAAACCAAGCTTTGTATTCATTTTAACGTAACGGTATTTTATTACTATTGATGTAAACGTAAAGGAAAGAAAGGGAATTAATAAATGAGTTAACAAAATTATTAATATAGGCTATAAAATTTGCTTTGAGAAATTATTTTCAATTCTTCATAACTTTTATATTGTATGTTATTCAACTTTACTGCGAATGATTATATTCAATTATATTCAATTATATTCAATTTCAGACAATCGTAAAATTCAACCCGAAACATATTTAAATTGAAACATTAACCAATTCAAAAAGTTCTGTTAATAAATTATATAGATATTGTTAAAAATATAGTATATGCCATAAGAATGACTAAGAGAGAAGAATTATACAAAGAAAAATGGAGATAAAATTAAAAGGGAACGTTCACGACAAAAAAAAGAAAAATAATAAAAAGAAAGAATGAAATGATAGTCTGATAAGTTGGGCGTTTTTAAAATTCTTCTTACGTGCCTTACATGTCACAGGAGATAATGAAATGAGAAATAAAAGAGAGGATAAATAAGAGAATGGGAAAACGTGTGCTTGTCGTGTCCATGAAACTCGTGTGAAAAATAGTTGAATAGAAATGACCCGAAAAGTGGGAGAGAGAAAGTAATGCCGCTTCTCCACATAGTACTTTTTTAGTAAATCATATAATTTATTTTAATTAAAAGTTAGCTCGATATTATAGAGTTTGATTATAAAACGTGGTAAATTACTTTCTCATCGCATTTCGTGCAGTGGAAATAAAAATTCTGTAATTTTGTGTTTAATTTTGCACAATATGATAATCATTGTATATTGGATACGCACAATACAGATATGTATACACAACACAATACGCACAAATACAGCACACGCATGCATAAAAATTGTTATAACTAGTTAAAATAAAATTGAAGCAATTATTTAAAAAAAATTTGTTCCCGTAAGAATAATGAAATAATTTCAAATAATATCTCATTACATAATGTATATTGCATATTACTTAAAAGATTTATGATAAAAGTGAGAAAGTAGTCTAATGAATTAATTAATAATATTTTTTTGTACCACGTAAATTGATGATATTCCATTAAATTCAAATCACTGCCTCTTTCCAGCTGTTGAAATGTGTTATTTAAGTGTGCATAAATTATTTTTACTTTAAAAAATGATGTGGATCCATCGAACCATTGAGATACATCCATAGGTGTATTTCAATTAATTTCACTCAATAGTTAACGAGTCGCTATATATAACTTTTATATAGCGATGCCAATATTTATAACAATAGATAGTAAGAGTGCATTTGTTATGTATGGGTATGTCAGTGTATGATGAATAGTATCGTAAGAGCGCGCTAATGAGTTTGTGAATGTTTTTAATAACAATAACGTAGTATGTAGAAATTGAAGCGAACGTGATTATTAAAATCATTCATCGCGCAACTAAATCTAAATCTTCCAAGGTCAGACCAATAACATGAACGAGGTATTACAAAAATGCAAGATGAAGTGTATAAACAGCCTTAACTCAAGGATGAAACGAGAAAAAGCCGAAGAGCGAGTGAGCGAGAGAAAGACCGTGCGTGCGTGAAAAAGTGTAGGAGAGAACGAGGGAGGGAGGGAGCAAGCGACAAAGACAGAGAGTTGAAAAGGAAGTACCCTCTTTTTATATTGCACGCACACAGAGGCGCTTGTGTCACACACGCATTATAAACGTTAAGCAAACCAATACACACGAGACTTTGGCATTTCAAGATGGTGGAGAATAACAACGCGCGAGGCTGCTTACTAACTCGCTTACTAGGAGGTACGAGCAGCCGCCAGTGAGTCAGTATTCCACATCCGGAGAGCGAAATCCACCGGAATGTAAATAAAAGCTACGCGATACGTGGTGTCCCATAACCGCTACCTTTGTCCTGGCGTTCCCAAAGACGAAGCCAAGCAGCCGCCGGCCGTGTCCCCTGTTTTTTTAAACGGATTGTCTTTCTTTTTGTTTGTTGTGCTCTAGAAGAAGGGAATTGGACAGATCAGGCAGGAGAAGAACATGGCCAAGTCCGTGTTAGGTTCGGACTCGATGCCTAAAGCTGGTCGTGTCAACGAAGGTGCGTAAGGCTAATGTTATTAAACATGTTTGATCGCGGTTGCCGATTGTTTTCCTTCTTGGCTCTTTGTCTCGTACAATACACGTACGTGACATTTGCATCGCGGACTCGCGTCAGGTTTATTCGTTGAATTGTTGAAAATCGCGATTACTCTGCGACTAAACACTCGATTGCATGTTTGGCTTATTTTAAATGCCAATGGCGGAAGTAGTAGTTTGTGTTGTAAAAGAAAAAGTTAATCTAGATTTTAGAAAGTAGTCTTTATGCTAACAAATCCTACTTGAGCTCCCTTCCATTCATAAGGCTTTCATTGCCTTGGCATTATTTTCATTTACTAATTTAATAATGTCGGATGTTTTAATGATGCTAATATAATAACGCTAAGGCAATAAATTATAGATGCAATTATTGGCTTGACAATTTGAAGAAGAAAAAATAAAATGAAAAAGAAAACAACAACAATGGAATATTAATTGTAGAAGCTAGATTTCGGTATTGATATTAAAAAAAGTTATTACGAAAATTATGATCTTAACAATTATAAACTTATTCTACTCCTACACAACTATTTACATAATAATAAATTTAATAATTTATAATAATAAAATAATAATTCCTTTTGTCTGAACATTTTATTATTTATAAAAAAAAAGTCATCCTAAATGGATATTAATGTTTGTTTATTCGCTTATTTTAATGAATTCGTTTTAATTATTTATTAATTAAATAATGAATTAAATGAAATTAATGAAATCATGTTTATTAAGACCATTATTAATCTTATATAAAAACCATATGGAAAATTTTATTTTTATATATTTACAATATTTTTTACTTATATTCTGGTTAATAAATTATATTGCAAGTATATTCGAAAGTTATAACTCATCTATTATAATAAAAGTATTCTAATCGAGGCAATTATATGAGTAACGTCCTTAATTAATGATTCATTTTTATTTGTGTAGTATGCAGGGAGTGGTTGGTACACGAAGATGGAGCATTGGCCTATCGTCTTCAAGATGAAGAAAGTTTGTATCGCATGCTCGTTGGTCATTAATAATTATGAAATATTATTATTACAATTTTTCTACAAATATTTATACCGTTTAAAATTTTACTGAAATTCAATTTATTTTGCGGTTTAGTTAAAGAGCATTATACACACAATAAAGTTCGAAATGCCCAGGTGAGAGAAGACCTTCCTAAAGCACGAGTCGAACAAGAAATAGAGAAATTGAGATACCAGTCTTACGTACAAGAGCAGTTAGTACTTTCAATTATACGTGTGCATGTATTCTATTTTTATTTAATATAGTCCAATATATTATATCCAATAAAAGAGTCCAATATAATAAATTATACTCCGGTGAATTCTTTTTTCACTTTATCATGCAATTATATCAAAATGAAACTTAATAATCTAAAGTTTTTAAATTAAACAATATATTTTGTTAATCTGTCAAAGTATAATTTTCTTGTTAATACAATCTCTCATACATTTGTAAATAAACTTGGAAATGATCGATTATTAATATCAATTGTACTTTATATGAAAAGAGAAGAGAGAGATGAACTGATTGCAAGACAAATTGCACTTTCGCTAGAACGAGAGGAACGAATGAAAGAGAGAGAATTACGAGATCAAATGAGATTGCAGCTTCGCCTGGACGACGAAGCGGCTAGATTAGAAGCTGAAAGTGAAATACAGCGACGTATTCAAGAAGAAAAAGACCAGGTACTAACGTCATTAGACATTCTATGAAACTAAATTTGAAATTTTTAACAGAAATTACATGTTACAAAAGTGATATGTAGATCAGTGCATAACCATTCGATTCAATCATTGTACGACTTATCAATGATGTATCACAATAAATCACGGCTAATGAAATTTTAATTAATTATTTCAAATGAATTAATTGTAATTAAAAGCATTTTACTATGTTTATATTCATAGAAGTATTAATTAAATAATTTATGTAAACTTTCATGAATGAACGATAGTTTGTATTATATATATATATATATATATATATATATATATATATGATTGTAAAGCGATAGTGACACGAGAATTTATGAAGAAATAATCGAGTGGCTAAACTACTAAAAGGATATGAAATAATCATCGAATTAAAAACTTCAGCCATAAAGTTTAATATTTTAAAGCGTTTCCAAGCAATTATAAATAATTTTAATGGACTTCAATTTATTTTTTACAATAATTTTTGTTTATATTACTTAAAATCTTATTCATTAACGTCGCAATGCTGTCTTGTAAATCAAAGAATATTATTTCAAACAATTAGTGATTACTGCTAATGAATTAATAGTGAGCCAAGCGAGTAATTGCTTTTAATACGTTAAAAAAAATGTTAACGATTTTATTGTGATGACGAAAATTATGCGACATAACTCGTCTGTAAAATTAATGCGCACAAAAGAAGAACAATGAATAAATTAAAATTGTATTAATGTAAATATAAAGTCAACTCGTCTGCTTTGTCAGGAATTGGCAAGAAAATTGCAAGAAGAAGAGGGTGAAGGTGCAGACACACAAGATGGTGCAGTGATGGATGAGCAGTTGCTGCTGGATCATAAAATTGCTATGGAGGCACAAGATGCCGAGTTAGCCCGAATGCTACAAGAAAAAGAGCGAGCCAAGGCGAAACGAGCGCGAGAGCGAGCCAGGCAGAAAAAGTTGGAGCGCCAACAACAACAACAACAACAACAACAACAACAACAACAACATCAACAGCAACAGCAACAGCAACAGCAACTCGAAGAAGAAAAACTCTCGACTGGCGGTAGTTTAGAAAGGCCACAGAGACCCGATAATCTAGACTTGAAGCCTGCTTTACGTTAGTTTCTTCCTTATCATTTTTAATAAAACGATGTGCGACTAAACTTTCAGCGAATAACTTTGAGTAAAGTAATTAAAATAGAAAATTAAAAAGTAATTAAGACTTGCTTGGAGTTTGATTGCAAAGACAAAAAGCGAAAAAATGTTTTATGTATAGCGCATACCCGTAATTGAAATTGAGTCGCGATTAATTGAAAAATCAAGAGTTTGATAAACTCTATATATGATAAACGGGATAAAATTATTTTATATCTGCTTTTTATGTTAATTATATAGATAATAAGTGCCACGGTCTCATTGTATTCTCTTTGTCCATAAAAGTAGCGAAGCAAAGGCAAATACGCCAGCACAGTAGGCAACCCTCGGATCCTGAAGAGATCCGGAGCTATCCCGACGATACGGAGGAGTCCGCGTTGGAATCGCAGTCCCGAAATGTGGCCGCCATGATCGATCCAACATACAATGGAAATGCATATGCAAGCTCGTCAAATGGCGGCTCTAGCGGAAGCTCCAATGGCCTCAGTCCCACGTACCCTTCACCGTCCCAACATGCTGAAGTCACTACGGAGGATACCGCCTCCTGCTATATGCCTGTGCCGGGTACACGGCGAAATCATCTCGGTACGAATAGTAATAACAATAATCACAATTCATATTCGCAAATTTACGTCCCTCAAAAGTCAAAACACAATTCAAATTAACACGGTGGCAATGAACATTATAAGTCACTTTGGTGACACGAATGTGAAAATATTTGCCGAAAGTATGGAATTGTCGTCAAAAATTAAAAAATAGTAATATAAAGCATTCAACTTTCGAATTAAAGCACTTAAAGAATTTAATTTAATTAAAATATAATTCAAATTTATTATTACGATAGCGTTACGTTTGATGAAAAATGTGAATTAACTTTTTAAACAATCTTTTCCAAGCAATTACAATTGAAAAAGCAGACTTTACAATGTCATTTCAATTTTATATACTTATAAATAAAAAATTTCTATACTGATTATTTATTGTGTACGTTTTGAGAGATTACTTTTTTTACATTTATGAACAGTGAACAATTCCTCATTATAATATAAAAACTGCTTATTATACGTATGTATTAATAAAAAATAAATAATATAAAAATAATTAAATTTGTGGTGTACGGTTGGAAATTGATGTTAGTATGGTTTTAAAAACAAATTTAAACATAAATATCCAATTGAGTATATAAAGTTTGATGAAGAAAAAGAATAAGAAATTTATTAAATATTAATTTAAATTAATATTAATTAAATTAAAATTAATATAATAATATTATTGAATTAAGTTAATGGTAATGTAAATGTTATTATTATTATTAAGATGAAAATTAATTTTTTAGCGCAACAGCATTCGCCGTCACAAAATCAAGATGAGAAGAACAAACGTCGTGTTAAAGACAGCTGCAGGCAGCAGTGAACAATAATCGAATAAAACGACAAAAATCTAATAACGATTAATCTAATTAACGACTTTCGATTTTACATTACTGGTGGAAATATTTTTTGCTTTATTAAATTTATCAGCGATTGATATTCTAAGTAGTTTTTTTTAATCGAAGGAAGCTTTTGTATATAGAATCAAATGTGTATTATTTTGAATTCTTTAACTCGGGTGTGAATTAAACGAATGAATCGATTCAACTATTATCATTATCGCTACAACAAATTGTTATTAATTTCTGTCAAGTCATCGTTGATCTGCCTATAAAATACTTGTAAATGTAATTGATTTATTTAATCGTAGAACAATATCGAGTTTGATATGCTGTACGTTATGACTATTAAGAATTTTGCTGGAAATTTTGCCCAAAATTAGAATATTGTACAAACTCGCTAATTAAAATTTCAATGTTATCGATGAAAATTCAGAATTAAAAACATGCAACTTATCATTTAACACTTAATATCGCGTACAAGCATTTTAATACGAATTTCCTTTATCGACTTAACATTAATCTTATATTTAATCAGAAAATAGCCTTCTTATGCCTTAAACCTAAAGTATTCTTTCTATACCATTAAACGCATTTATTTGGTATTTTTCTACATTTTTTGACAAATATAATGCTTTAAGGCACAGTAGCAGGTACACGTTTGTACATGTCCAAAAGTAATTGTGCAAAAACGCTTATTAAGGATAACTTACATTCTAGGTATTTAACAAATATTATAATTACTTGTACTTTAAATCCAAAAATATTCTCACCCTTGCACTTGAACATGTAATACTAAAATTCAAAAATTTTCTTAAATAATGCATGGCCGCGCTCACTAATGCGACGTGCTGGCATCGTCGTCAAACTCTATTTCCTACTCTCTCTCTCTCTCTCTCTCTCTCTCTCTTAGCTGGGGAATCCTCGTCAATCGTCGATGCACAAATAGCATCACTCGCTATTGTTATTAAACGTCTCGAGGCTGGCATCCCTTTTCCATCAATAAGAAAATAATTATTAAAACACTGCGTATCATTATAAATTAATCAAAAAATTGTTATTACAATTAGATTTTACACTCGCATGCTATGTACCCAAAGTAGAGTTTGCTGGCAAAACTACAGATTTATGGCATCTCATTTAAATGTAATATCAAAATACAAACTATAGTTTTAATTTATATTGTCCGATTGTAAACAAACTTGCGTTACTTCAATGCAATACATTCTCTATTGAGAAAATTATTTATAAACTTTTTGAAATTATTATCAAATATGTGTATTAGGCATATTTAGCCAATATATAGAATCGTGTATTGGACGGTAAACTTTTTATTATAATTTATAATGGTATATGCGCAATAATGAAATATATCATAAAAATATTTCCACCAATTTTTACCTTTGATAGAAATAATTTGTGAGGCCTTTTAGATAATTGGAGATTTATTGTTAATGAGAAATTCGTGCCTTTACGCAAGGAATATCAAATTTTACACGTGTGCCTCGTCAAATCATTTAAAACGATAAATGACATTCAATAAGGTTTATTAAAATCTTGCCTCTCTACGTCTTATAGCTTTAAGTCATTAATTTTATGAAAAATTTAACTGATATGTATGTATACCTAATGGCGCTACCTTCCCATGGGGGAAAAAAAACAAACAAACAAACAAACAAGCAAACAAACATGAAATTGTATATAATTGTACGTAATAATATATGCTTATGTATTATCATATATTATTATATAACACATGATTATATGTTATGCATATGTAAATTATGTATACTGATGGCGAAATTTTATCGCCAATTTTTGGTAACTTCCACATTTATACGAACCAATTGTTGCCAAAGATCTAAGATCTTACCACTATAACCTTATAACATTTTACTGAACTTCAGTGTTAAATTTGGGAGGTAGTTTAAATAATATATTCCCTTTAATAATGACAATATGTGGTCCAAATGAAAATATAAAGTATTATTATTACCAGTATCTTCTGCGTGAAAAACGAATGTTGTGAGTTATACAAAATAATGTATAGTCCATATTGTAATGTAAATTTTTTTAAAAATAATCGTGTATAATTACTAATATAGATTTACTTGAATGACGATTTACTTATACAAATGGGATTTTGGAGATTTATTTAGAAGTTAATAGACTTATACCTTCTTTATTGAACTATAATATTATGTATCAATAAATTATTTACAACAGTATCATACACTTGTTCTTTCAAAATGTATTTTTTTCATTTTATTTATTTATTTATTTATGTTTTTTTTTAGTTGAGAAAAAAGTTCAAAAAAGAGAAAAAAAAATATGTAATAAAAACAATAAATTTTCACAGCGTTTCAAATAGAAGAAATTATCATTTAAATTATAAATTAATTCATTTTGCTTTGTCTTTTGTGTTTTTGGGCAGTACAAAGCAGGTTCGCGGACGCCTTTGAATTCTTGCTAAGCTTACATGATCACTGTCTGTTGTATTACTTTTCAATAAATTCGTCGTCACGTCGGAAGACTCCTCGTCGTCTACTGGCGAAATAAATCTACAATTATTTATACACATGTTTAAGAGCACACGTGGCAATGTTTTATAACATGAATTTGATGCATCCTGAGAGCTTTCCCTCTCGTTTTAACGAAGAACTTACTTCTGGAGCGCAGCTGGTTCCGAAAATGTATAAGTTGGCATTTGACATTCATCTGAAGAAAAAAAAGGGAAAAAATTTTTAATCTATTACTAAGCTTGCAAAAGATTTTAATAATATTAATTCACGAATATTTTGTTAATTGAGTATAAAAACAACTAATACGCAATTAAATCAATTAAAAAAAAAAGAAAAAGAAGCGTAGTATTTGTAACTTTAAAGTAGATGAATTTATTTAAAAATAATAAAATCAACTCGGTCAAGTTCAATTAATTTAAAATGAAATAACTCGTACAAAACAAGTAGTAGTCAACGTCTTCTCCAGATATGAAAAAAAAAAAATCATCAACCTTCGATATTCTGTGGCAAATGTCCAGTCTCCTCGGGCAATGAGAACAAATAGTCCTTACTCTCGCTAGTCTTTCTTCCCCTCTTCGACTTCCCACTGGCCTTTGTTTTTTCTTCCGTAATCCCGGATTCGGGTACATCCGAGGTGGCGCGTCTTCTTCGCGCTGGCTGCCTTTTTGCAACCGACTTGGTCGCTACGGCCTCCTCCAGTATGATATCTGGGATAACGGTGGCTTTGGCAAGGACACTACGTGTCATCCGCTTACCCGTCGGTACAACCAGACTCGAGTCAACACTACCGGCCCTACGGGCTCTGCCCTCGTCCACCTCCATTTCCCCTGAACGCGTGGCCAAAATCTCTTCGAGATCATCTGGCACCGATTGAACTGACGACCGTCTGCTACGCGTATTTGCTGCTGGACTCGATGTAGATCCGTCATCCATGGATCGTGGCACTCTCAGACGCTTTCCACCTATCGATGAGTCCAGCTGTGAAATACTTTCCTCGAGAATTACCTCCTTTAGTAGGCTAGTGGAACGTCTGTTACGGGACCGCATTTTCACGGAATCTGAAAGTAAGGGATTTATTTGTTATTCACTCATCAGCTATGAGTCGGTACTTTAATTACATGCAATACATGTATTAAATTATGTGCATGTAAATTCTTTAGCTATTAGTGGCCATTTATGTTAACTCTTTTTGATAACTCAAAATATCACAATATAATGACTGAATTTATTGGCAGAGCCGTTAATAAGTAGTCCTACTACCCATAAATCGTTGTTTAGAAATTAATTAATTAATTAACTACAAGGGTATTTTCAAAAATAAAAATAGGATATATATATATATATATATATAATAGGACATGGAAAAGCATTAATATAATATAATGGAATATGACAATGGTTAAATTAAAATTTTTACTATAAACGCGGTATTTAAATTTTTTTCTTTCTCGTTCCTTTCTTTCAAATCAATATATTCATCGCTAAATTATTAATAATATAATATTTATACTTTTTTCCCCTAAATTTATGGTAATACTGTAATTTTGTAACTTGAAAGTTGTTAATTATTTGAATTACGGCTTTAATAATAATAATACAATTAATTGAAAGTGAATATCTTTTCAATTTTGTAACACTCATTATTTAAATATTATAAGATACAATTTGATTTGTTTAGAATAAAATCAGTATATACATGGATACGAGTGCACTTGGATAATGGATAATGCGTCTTTCCTAACAAATAGTCAATTTCTATTAGAATAATATTTACATGAACAAAACATACAAATACAACATAAATAAATAATGAAAGAGGCTAAAAATAAAAATACTCCTATAATACAGACAATATTTCAGAATAATATGTTATTCACCTGATCCAAGTGTAATATCTTTCGGAAGTGAACCGCAACGCTTCCTAGTTGTTTTTGCCAAAGTTTCATTCTGCTCGGCAGCACTTATTTCTTTAGCTAAAGAGGAAGCCCTCGTTGTTCTTCTTACAGGTGCAACCTTCTCGTCAATATCCCTAGCACTTTTTATCATTGACGAGGCTCGCGTTCTCTTTGCCCCAAGTACCGTCGTTTCGTCTTTGTCCTGCTCAACGGAGCCCGATCTCATTTGTCTCGTAACGACTGACGCTTTTGCTTTTGTATCTTTACCTAACGAGGAAGTTCTCGAAGTATTAGCTCGTCGAGTTTTTTCTTTATATTCCTCTTGCAATTCGTCGTCTGGCACTACGATTGTTTCCTACATCAAAATTTATGTTAATAATCGACGAAGAAAAATGTTTAATTTCTATATTATGAACAAGATTGAAAAATTATACGAAAGTCAATTCTTTAATCGTAAAACGACGAATAATTGTATAACGCTCTTACTATATTTTCGTTTGTGGGTACTGTTGTTGTTGTTGTTGCTTCTTTAGATATTGTAGAGGCTCTCGTTGTCTTTGACTTGCTTGTTTTTTTTTCTACGGGCTCTTCGATCGTATCATCGTTTTTAACTTTTGTCTGAATAGATATAATCTCCTTGGCAATGGATGTAGCTCTTGTTTTTCTCGATGGCTTTTCCAATTCCTTAGTAATAGAGCTCGTTCTTGTTACACGCTGATTCGATAGTTCATCCTTTTGAGAGCCACGCGTCGATCGTTTTGAGCTTGATTTATTTGAGCTCTTTATATTTATAAAATGCTCTTTTTCCTTTTGAGAAATCAAACTATTTTGAGATAATTCTGTTGGGATTATCGATTCTTTTGTAGTTATACTATCGGATGATATTGAACTTGGGCTCTTTTGTTGTTCTTCAGAATCCTTAATTTCTTCGGTGAGCAAAGTTTTTTCAGTGGATGATATATTAACTATCGGATCTTGTATAACCTTTGATAGAATGTTCTTCACTTCTTTTGTAACCGACGTACTTCGTTTTCCACGATCAACTACAATAAAATACACAACACCTTGTTAAATTATTTATCAATAAACTAACATTATTAATTTTATTTCAATATCATTGGTACGTTTAATTAAGACAATTTAATTTAAAAGTATCAAACAAAAATATTTGCAAAATATATTAATATATATTATTAATATCTATCGCAAAAGTTAAATTTATTTCGATCAAAATTCACTGGTTTTCGTACAATTAAATAAACAATTAAACGCGATTTGATAAAAACAAAAAAACAAAAACAAAAAATTTTAGCAATACTATACAACATTTTTAATATAATTAAATAAAGTTTAATCCAACAATAATAATATCGTTAATAATCAAAAATAAACTTTTCCTCGTAATATTTAAACTATTTTATGAATTCTTAATAATTTAATCAGCAAATTTTTTAATCAATATTAGTTTAACATGATTAAGTGGTAATTTATTGTTTTACCTGTCGTCGTCGACTCAACGCTTTCATTAGTTTTTATAGGTAGAATGATTGATTTAATAGAACGTCTAGCACTCGGTATCTTATAATTTAAGGATCCTTGTTTCTTTGTATCTTCTTTCAATGGAGTTCCGTCGTTAGCAAGATCGTCACTTCTCGCCGTTAACCGTGACTGAAGATTCTATTTATAAACAATTAAAATAATATTAATAACTATTGATTTAATGTCGGTAAGTGTCAATAATGGTTGAATAAATTTGAGATGCTAATCTGGTCTTTGCTTAAACTTTTTGCTCGCAAATAATATAAATGTAATAGTTTCTTAAATAATTATTTTATTTAAAATATTGATTTTTTTTTTCAAAATCTTTTTTTCCCTCTTTTTTTCTTTTTTTCTTTTTTCTTTTTTTTTTTTCTTTTTATCACAATTTTTGTATTACAATTTATTTTGATATTTCGCATTAAGTGTTACATTGTGTTATAAAGTGAAAGGTAAATTTTTGCTCACCAAAGAATATGTATTGGTTATATCCAGTGTTTTTAAAGCTACGTTACTAACATCGGAACATTGCAGCGAATCCGATGACACGGATACGAAAGACGTTGCCTTTTCCGAACCATTTCCCTCGTCATCATCTTCCGTAATTGAGGATCCATTTGATTTTCGAGATCTCAGTGAGTGCATCTTGTTATCTTTAGATCTTTCCGCGGACGAAAGATTAAGCGTCAATTCACACGTCCTTTCTTTTATGGCAGGTGAAGTTACTGCCGCGAACTCATCATCTATAGATTCATCATCAGTGATATCGCAAGCCGAGTCGTATTTAACGATACCCTGACTATCGATAAATATAGGTCTGGTGAGGGTATTGTGATGATAATCGTCGTAAGCAGTATTACTAAATTGCTGACTCCTGTTCGGGAGGGCGAACTTCTGTGTATGGCTATAATCTTGATTATCGTAATCTTGACGTAATTGATTATAACTTGATTCGCAATTATCATCAGGCTGATCTAAGCAATTGGAAGTTAAATCTGAAGGTACGTTGATGGTGTAGTCTAGGGAGTTGGAAAGACTCTGGAATGTATCGTCATCTTGATCGCAATCTCTATCTAAATCTTTATCAGTTTCTAATGACTCTTCGGGCTCGGGTTCTATCTCTATCTCTTCGTTGCCATCATCTTCGCTCACTTCGTCTTGCCGAAGTAAATTGCAATTTACAGAAGTGGATCTTTCTCGATCAACTTCTACTTCGTCCTTTTTGTATAATGAAAAAAAATTTTAATACTAATTTTATACTACAAGTTCTATAAGCTGTACCGGTAATAAAATATATTAGTATTGCAAATGTATAATTTTTATGTTTACATGACTGAGAATTTAAATGTACAATCAAATATGATTAAGCAGATATTATTGTGATAATGAAATTATATGCGCTTACGGTAAACATTGCAAAAATATTATACAATTGAAAAGTACAACCTATTTCTTTTTTTTATAATTATTTTTAAAAAAAAATTAAAAGTTCGTTTTTACATATTAATTTTATTGTCGTTATTTTTTTTTTTTTTTTTTTTTTTTTTTTTTTTTTTGTTTCAACTACCAATTTGTTTCAGAATTTTTATTTCATATTTTTAACAGTCGTGAATTATTTTATTGTCAAAGGTATACGAAAAAATTTTTTATATGAAACTCATTAGGATTATAAACAAAGATATTCAATATAATCGTAGTCAAAAGATTTTTTACCAGAGTTTCCACTTCATCGGTGATCAATTCATCATTCTCTTCTTGGGCGCCTGTACATAAAGGATCAACCAATGATTCTTTATCGATGCTTTTATCACTAACATTAGCTACGGTCTCGTTCTCCGAGTGTTCTTCAGATTCCTCGGTTACATCATCATCATTATTATCTTGATTGTTATTAATGGTCAGAGGTCTTTTCAAAGGTGATACTTCAATGCTGGTATTAGAAGAAAGTACCGAGGCGGAATATAAATTGGACGATAAAGCAGATTTTGGACTGACTTTAGACATTTTTCGACTTCTTTCAAACGAAGTGTCCTGTTAAATATATTAATAATACTGAGCTTATATGAAATATTATAAAGTATCTATGTATGTTTACGTGAAGGGAGTGGCTAGTATTACCGATGGTCTTGGGAATTACTAAATTGTTATTAATTTTTAATTTTTCGTAATATAAATTGCTTGGGAAATAAGCAATAAAGCAGGAAAAGTAAATTCAGCTAGCTGTTATTATATTAAAACTCAACTATTGTTTGAAAATATTCAATTACCAATGCAGATACATCAATCGTATCGGAAAAACTAGTTTTTTGTGATTGACTGTCAGTGGACGCACGCGAGAAAAGACTGCTTCTTCGTAAACTTGGCCTAGGTCGAAGGCCACGGATATATTTTGTAAAGCTACTATCAGTCAACATTGAAATGTCTCTTATAGACTTCATACTCATGCTTGGGCTGTAGTAATTTTCTTCCAAACTGAAAATATTAAAGACTGTTTGAATCTGTCAACTGCAATTCAAGTCGAATAAATTAAACTTAGTTATTTTCAGTATATTGTCGATAATTTGAAATACTATATTGTATATATATATATATATATATGATATTATGATAATATTACTGAAGTAATATTAGTTGAAGCCTTTGCTTCAATTACTAACCACTCTGCTTCAGCATTCTTGCTGTTCTCCTGTTCACTTTGCTCTTGGTTGCCGTCGTTTACGGAAAAGATCGAGTCATCGTTGCCACTGAATCTGTCCATACTGAAGCGAATTTGACGGGCTGGTCTTCCGTCACCTAACATATTATCTAAAATAACTTCTCTTTCACTTGGCGAACCCTAAGCAAACAAATTTTTATTAAAAAAACATACAAACTTTTAAAATAACTTTTAATTACTAGTATTGATAAATTTCGAGGCAATCGATTTTAAAGCAATACAGTCGCTACTGTAACATCGATAAAAGTACGTATGAATTTATAAATACAGTATTTATATTGAAAATAAAACTTAGAAACCATTAAATATCATTGAAATCGTGTGCATTAGCTATTACTATAATCAATAATCGATATTAAAGAAATTTAATTATATTTATATTGACAGGATAGATAATTTATTGTACTTAAATTGGATTGGAATAATTTTTCTATTTAAAAATTTAAAAATTTAAAAATTCTAATTTAATTTAACTGATTAGTTTGTTTAATTAATCAAATAATACCTTACAATGAAAGCTTGAATCAATTGTTAAATGAATTTTATATTACATACGATATATATTACAAATCATTATAATTCAAATTTTGTCTATCCTGCCGAATCTAATTATAAAAATTCTCGTATTACCTTGAATTTTTCTAAATTAAATCCCCCTAAACAATCCCTTTGAATATTAATAATTATAAAAGAGGAAAAGACTGGAGATTTAAACTTCTACTCACAGTCCTATAATTAAAACTAGGTGAATTTGAATTACGCCTCAGCATTTGTCGAATCTTTAAAATTGAATGTGGTGTTTCCGCTGTTAAATTATTCGGATCTCTGTTTCCAGTCGGCCGCACTTTGCGCTGTACCAACGGGGTGTCGCACACTTGGCTCATACTTAATCTACGCGGTGGTGGTTCATCACTCTCGCCGTTCGAAGAACTCATTTCTTTAACAATAGATAAAAAAATATTATGCCACCTATAAAAAATAACACAAGTCGATCTACCATAAAAACGTAATTTTTTATTTTTTATTATTTTTTTTTTCTTTGTACCAAACTTCGTGGTCGTTCATTGATTTAGTATTTACATCAACATCAAAGTAGAAATGCCATTAATACATTTCCCACAACAACTTACCGGCTTCGCTGCCAAGTCTCCGTCGTTTGCTCTCTATTTTGTACTCAACGTTATCCTCGCTCTCGTTCATCATCCCCAGCGTTCTTTTACCTTTTGTTACTTTTCTCTCGGCAAAAGTAACGCAATTCGCGTCACTCTGATCGACGGTACTGTTGGCACTTGTCGCCCTCGTACAGAATACAATGGTAGAGCAAGGCGCTCCGAGGAAGGGTATGTGGTTCGTGGTACCGATGCCCCGTTCAGCCTTGAAGCACGTTTCGCGAGTCTTATGTATAGCGATATCGTAAACCTCGCTTATCGGATTACGGCAGTGAGACATTGGTCGAGGATAGCCACCGTTAACGTTAGAGTTCGGACCGGCGAACGCGGCTAGCTCATGTTGTTCATGTAAGTAGTCTCCATTATTTTTTAAGAGGCTGCTTGCGAAACGTTTTGTGATTTCTGGCAGTGTGGCATTGAATGTGCTCAGAATTTTCAAGGCAGTTGGATGAACTGTTTTACTTTGCACTCCCAAACGTTCTATGAGAACAAAAACAAAAACAAAAAAAAAAAAACAAAAAAAAAAACACGAGAAATAAGATATTCGTCATATAATAATTAATATAATAACTTTTATAATGTATTTGAGAGATTAAGAATATATGAATATTTTGAAATAAATTAATAATTTCGAGGCAACTTAAAGTAAAAGTCAAATTCTACTATATTCAGTTTTTTTTTCTTCTTCTTTTTTTTTTTTTTTTTTTAATATTAATCAATGACAACTAATTATTTAAAGTAATAAATTACGTAATACAACATTTATAATACAAAGAAAATTTTTTATATCTAATTATTTTGCATAATATTCAACTCTGCGTATATTAAAAGTCAAAATTAATTACATTATTCTTTGTAGAATCAAACATTTTTTTTTTTTTTTGTAATGAGTAAATTAATGTTATTTAATTAATGAAAATGAATGAACATTATAATTAGACAATCGAATGAAAATTAAATATGAATATTAGTCATAGTCTCACGTGAATTAAGGGCAGTATCGAAGGCAAATATATCACTAGCTTCGGTATGTCGACATCGCTGCAAGAAGTAAAGCAATCTCGTATCTTCGCAACCGCCTTCTTTGAGAAACCTCACAAAAGCTTCTTCTTCTTCGTTATCCAGGGACAAATACAATATCTCTTTCAATTTCCCATAAGCCTTGCATGACGAGAAAAACTTCGTAAGCAATTGGGTATAATGCGAGGGCGGCCTCGAATGAAAAGCCGACTCAACGAGATCCCGTTCTACTTCTAAGGCTATCACAGTACCCTGATCCTCCAAAGAGGAAAGCGGCGGTTTTAATACCCGCAAGTACATTAATGCTAGTGAATTGAAAAAAATTATTTTCATCATAATAAAATAGAATTGATAAATGCTTAAATATGATTTCAGAAAAGAATTTGTATATACATACGCATACATGTAAGAGTATGCATATGCAAACACGTGTATATACACTTGCACGCGCTCACACACGCGCGCGCGTCATGTACCAAGTTTTTCAATTTTCAAATTTAAATTAAAACTTTTTTTAAATAATATTTACACACATGATTTATATAGGCTGACTAAACTCCCTTTTACAACATATTTTCATATACTTGAAAATACTTTGTCAATGCACACAAGGAAAATAATTATTAATTAATATTTTGTAACTTACCCAATTTATGTTCATTATTTTTTAAAAGCGTATTAATAGCAATTTTATGATGCCAATCCTTAATATCACTAATCGATATAAGCTGACCCGTCATAATTTTAAAAAAGCCTTCATAATCTTCGTGATCTAGTAGCCAGAAGGCTTGGGTAAGTTTAATTAAACTTGGGCTCAATTTAAAAGCAGAAGGATATTTTATAAGGCGATCGACACTTGGGTAACAGCCTTGCAAAAGCATAGCAAGATCCATGAGAAGATAAATAGTAATACTATGTTTACTGTCCATTTCAGCCATATCACATTCATCATCATTATCATCTGTATTATCATATTCTTCGCGATGACAGTCTGTTAAGTAACTACGTAGAAGGGATTGCAATGACGGAGGTGGATAGTATCCTCCATAATTTGGATATTCACTTCCTAAATACATATTGATTAAATATTATTTAAAAAATAATATAAATAATTATTTATGTCATTTGAGACTAAAATCTTAATATAAAAAAATCTCAGATGAAGAATTATTTTTTTTTAATAAAACATTATCTAACAAACAGTCTATTTTATACAAAATTTTTCAAAATACACAGTGCATAAAACTAATTAACTTTATTAACTTTAGAAGCATTAGTAAAAAAATGACATACCCGCTTCTTTTTCCCACTGTGCTCTTATGGGTAAGCAATCGTGAAATATCAATTGATGAATGAACAAGGTCTGTTCAACGTTCTCTTCCTTATTTTTGTCGCTTCCTCTTTTTTTGTGATATATTTCCATTAATTTGTCCTTTGGATATGGAATTTTCATTGACATTGTAATCTGTGGTATATCATCTTCCTCCTCCACCTCTTGAGTTTCGGGTAGCAGCCCTACATCATAAAACCATAGGAGAACCTGCACAAAATAAACATTAAATAATTTATGTTTTTTCAATAATAAAGCACTGTTATTCATTTATCAACGTAAAAATTACATATTATGTCCTTTGCATGATCAAAGTCAATTATGATCTTAACACAGAATTTCATTATAAATACATTAATCGATTAAACGTATTGTGCGCGTATATGTTTTCACGTAGTAAAACAAATTAAATTATTATAAATACATTTATTATTAAAAGTACCTGAAGATACGTCGCTATTCTCTTCAGAGCTCTTCTTTGTTTCTCTAAATCTGATTCTAAATTGGGCAATCTAGATACAACAGTAGTAAGACACTCGAGCTGTTGACAACAGAACCTCAATGTCTTGACCTCGCTTTCCCCAATGTTAGTGCCTGATTGATCAAACAATGGTACACATAGACGATCGGCAATCAGTTTAAGTTCAGAAGCGCGCTGCACACCCCACCGAAGGAATTCAGGATACAGATAGGCGGCACTGCCGTCAGACCATTCTGAAGCACATCGAATTAGAAAATTTGCCCATCGCTGTTCCAAACAAATCGACAGCAGCATCTCACGCTGCTGAGACTTATCTGTATCAAAATTATAATCTGGAGATGATGAGTCAAATGGCACCTATTACAACAAACCAATTACACAAGATATGAATAACGGTATTCACAACATGAAAACGCTTGAATTTTTGTAAAGAAAAGTAAAGAAAAATTAAATATTATAAGAAATTTTATATTTTACGCTTAACATTATTATTCTTAAATATTATACTTTGTCTTAGATTAAATGTCTACTATTTTATGTTACTGCGGATAATAATCTGTAGATAAAAAATAATTATTGACAAATTAATAATTAGAAATAATGAAAAAAGCTCACTGCACAATATTATCTTAATATTATCTCATTACATTCAATAAATATCTACACAATTTGCAACGAATTTTTAAATTTTGAGACATCCTATGTAATGAAAAATAAGAATTCAACAAAAACAATAAAATAAAAATAAATAAATAAATAAATAAACATTAGACAGTATGAAATATCGCGATTCTCTGCTTGGCCAAAAAAGATTTGCACCAAAACTCATTCCCCATGGTTTTGATGTTCGATCAACTAAAAGTAGAAATATAAGCAAGACCTTACCAGCCCAGCAGTGAGACATCTACGATAGGTCTCCGTGGGTTTGACAATGACGATCGGTCCAGCGATCGTGATTTCCCTGAGAAGTTCCGATTGTACGCCCCTCGCGAGCCAAAAGGTGAGATTGTCTGCCATTAGTTCGATCCACTCAAGCGTAAGCGAATTCGGATAGAAGAGCTCCTCCGGGGAGCTGGGTCCCTTCGTCGGAAATTCTCTCAGCGATCTTGGTACGTAGCTGCAGGCGATAACACCCCTCTTTACAAAATCTTCCGATTTAGTCCTGTAACTTGCCATAACACTATTGGGGTTACGACACTCGGCCATCGTGCGAGGCATCTGCTCCTTGTACCAACGATTCAAATCGAACATCAACAGTCTATCGTCACTACCAATTAACAGTAAACTGTCTTCGCCCCGCCGGGAGCCAGTATCCGAAGGGTCGCGCAAGTTTTCTCGTTCGACCGATAAGAGGCTGTGCACGCGTTCGCCTTGTTCAAGCTCAAGCTCAAACTTTAAGCTGGGCTCGGACTCCAAATGGAAGTAAAGGCTTGATTCGCCTGTTTTGTCGCAGCGCTTCTTGTTAAATAGCATTGCATACATACGCAGCACTGCCGATGATTCGGGCGAGTCACTCTGGAACAGGGACGGACATTAGTTATTTTGAAATTATTGTCGACAATAAATTAATTGATTGTCATTGAATGTCATTAAATGAAGAGGGCGAAGAGTCGATAGCTGCTAAATGTCGACAAATCATTTCATGAGAAAGATAAAATGCAATTATAAGCTCATAAACATTTTTATAAAGCATTTTCAATCATTTTTCCTAATTTCTGACTTATATTAGGAATTTGAATAAATGTAAAAGCTTTTACCTGGCAAGCAATCCAAAGATAATAAAAAGGCCGAGGATCGTCGGATGGTTCCAGCAAGGCAATGTGAGTTACATAAGCGTTCTCGTCAAAGGATGGACTTATCCAACCTATTGAACCGTCATTTTGCCAAATTATTGCTCGACCCAAGCAACCTGTTATTAAACATCCGATTTTTACAGAACTAAGTAAAACTGAACAGAGATTTTCATCATAAAGTGGAGTTGCTTCAAAATCATTTCGATCAAATCCTATATACTGTTCAATTTCTGAAACAACATAAATATAATTTAAATCCATTTGTTAGTTTTTGTATTATATTTTTTATTATAACCTTAGGAAATTAAAATTTATTTCAACGATTTATTTATAAATATTCATTCATAAAGTTATATTTGTATATTTATATATATATATATATATATATATATATATATATATATATATATATATCAATATAAAAGAATTTAATTCGATAATTATTTGATTTATTAATTTCTATCGTGATTTCTATTATTTGAAAATATAAATTACTTACAAATATATTATTATCAATGATTAAAATATTTTAGTTTACAATTTGTATTAAGTATTTAAAAAGCATTTATTATTATTAATTCACTTTGACTTGTCAAATATAGAAATCTATTTGTTTCTTAACGAAAGCATATTTGAGGTTATAAACTTTAAAATTATTTTATAAAAATTCAATGGTAAAAGCAAATTAAGTTTTTAAACATCTTTAACATTAAAAATTGTTCTTAATAAAAAAAAAAATAGCTTAAAGGAATTATCATTTATGCATTTATGATCTTCTACAAATAATAATAAATTTGATATGTGAAATTTAAATTAAGCTTCAATTTTTCTCGAACAAGTTAACAACTGATTAATCAAAGAATTAAAATAAACATATTATACCTTTACTCATTAGATCATAGGCTAAATGTGTTGGCTCTTTTTTTGTTTTATTTATTGAAGTAGGACACGCAGACGAATTATTTATAAATTCTAATTTTGCTGTGATCGAATTTCCTTCATGAAGAAAATTTTTCCATAATGATCTATTAATATCAATCACAACATGTTGTAAATTTCGAAGAGCGGCAAAAATCAATCCCGTATTATCAGAAAGTACTGTGTTTGGCCTTTTTTCATTAAACTCTTCCCATTCTGCACCACCATGAATAATACATGCTTTTTCAACACCAGCAGGTACCTAAGAGATAATCAAATCAATATTTAATATTCACAATGAAGTGATATTTTTAAAATTTTAAATAAACATATTTTATTTAAATGGCATTTAATACTATTTTTCTTTTTTATAAAATCAAGAAAACGTGTAATTTTACATGTATAATAGTTTGTAGTGCAGTTATATGATTAAAATTAAATATTTATGATTTACGATATAATGTAACTGTACAATGGATACAGTTATGGAGAAAAATTGACAATTTTTCATATTATTATAACTGTTTATTTCTTTTAATTCATTTGATTTTTTTAAATAGAAACAAAATTAAAGTAAATTTTTTTATTGTATAATCCGAATCAATTGGTTGTTGAAATAATTTTCTTGTTAAACCCATATATCATAAATTCTTATATTATTTTGAATGCAACACTTTAAAAATTAAATATGTTAAATATCTTTGATGAGTACAACTTTCTATTAATTGTCAAAAGAATTATTAATTTAATAGAAATTATTCTTGACTATAGTTGAAAATTTTTGTCCTTTTTATTTAAGTCTATTAAATATTTGAATAATTACTCACTTCAATAGTTGTTAAAATAGTAGAAGTACAGCAGTCAAATATAATCAAGTATCCAATCGAATCTTTTATTCTTATTGCATTATTATCAAGTCCGATCAAAAGCAGTGGTACTTGTCCTGGTTCCGTTGGGAATGGAGAAACAGAAGTAATTTTATTGGGAAAATTCCAAGAGGTGATGAACTTGCCATATCTTACATCAATTACTACTAAATGTGTCTTGTGGCTTATCCAAGCATACTTGCAATCGGTATTTAAAAAGCCACCAGAAGTCTCCAAATTTGATTCTTTCGATCCATCGATGGTCGCAAGTTCGTTTTGGGATATTAAATTGTTTGATGGATCCCATAATGGAAGCTCAAAATTTATAATATTACTTATCTGAAAAGAAAAAAATATTAGACTACAAAACAGAAGTCCGTGATCGTTAGTATGTTTACCTCGCAATTAGTTTCTTCCAGTTCCTTCATTTTTTCAATAACAATTTATAAAATACGAGTCTTGTGACAATAAATACATTTATGGCGTGAATTTTGGTCAATTACACATCTAAGTAACTAGAAAAGATTAATTATTTCGGTATACAACGATGACAAGGTTATGAACGCCAATTCCCGCGAAAACAAGAAATCCGTTGTGATTGCTTAAAATAATATAGTGATTACGTTTTTTTGTCCCAAGCTTAGTCAAATTTTACTCAAACGTATTCAAAGATAGGGCTCCTCCTCGAATCTGCAATTTTCTATTAGCAATTACTTTTAAAAAACTGTGAAAAACTTTCTTATCGAGCATACTTTATATATTTAAGCCGCGTGCATTTACTCACACACGAAGCAATCCAAACGACGGCAAATACGGATTTTAAATGGCTAACGTCGATGATAACGTCGGTTTACAGCCTACGGCATGTGTACTTTATGATGGAAAACGGAAAATTGAAGAGATTGGACCAATCGCATCTCGCTAGCAGCTTTAATATTCAGATTTTTAAACAAGATTATAATTGTTATGAAAATAAAATGATACATGTAATGCTAATCGCAAATCAAATATGAAATCATTCGTTTACCAATTCTTTTAATATAATTACAGATTATTATTCATTTCAATTTTGATGGAAATAGTAGTTATCAATCATTTATTAAAAGTGTTAATAAATTGAAGTTAATTTTAATTATCATTAATAACAATAAAATAATAATAACAACAACATACTACTATTACGAAAATAACAACAGCAATGTATGTAGTGTAATGCTATGATAAATTACGTATAGATTTTAGATAGTGAAATCGGAGGTCAAACGGGCGCCAAAGATAAACGCAATGCCGATAAAATCGCATTAAGAATAATCAATGAATGGGACAGATTTAAAATAATATTTTCCATTACTATATATATATATATATATATATATATATATATATATATATATATAAAAATATTAAAGTTAATGTATTATTATATTTTTCGATTATTTATAGTAATACAATTATTAACGTAATAATCGAGCGCTTCAGGACCGCCGTTCTTTCATAATCATATAACCTAAGAATATCTATGTAAACAATGTATGTATACATTTTTATGATAAAAATTCAAAATTAAATTCATTAATAAGATAATATATAATACTTATTAAATATTAATTAACAGTGAGAATAAAATGACATCCGTAAAGAATAATGGCACACCGGGAGACAGTCTTGAAGATCTGGGAATCCCTGGACAAGCTTTTCTCAGCGATGCTTTGACCAGTTGTAACGACCCTTTGAAAGCCATTGAGGAATTTCAGGTTTTAAAATCTTAATTAAATTTGAGCGCTATTATTAATTAAGTTATCTATAGTCTTTTGAAGCAAAAGTTTTTATTATAGTTAGAGAATGGTATTTTATTACCTTCTTTGAGGCCTATGCTACCATTGTTGGATCTTCATGGTGTTCAAAGACTTGATTTTCATGCATCCGTACTTGAGGAATTAAGAGAACAATTGGTAAAGCGTATTAATGAAATTGGAGTGGAAAGAGGTGAAAAAATAGTACAGTCTGGAGATCGTAGATTAAAGGAGCTTTTATCAAAAAGTTTTCCCGCTGTTAGAGTATCCGCATTGAGACCAGTGGTCATGTGCATCTTGAGAAATACACCGATTATAGAAGACAAATATTTAAGAGTCTTAGTAAGGGAAAAAGAACTATATAATGACGCTGACACGGAAGTTAAACGGCAAATATGGAAGGATAATCAAAGTTTATTCGGAGACGAAGTATCTCCATTATTTAGCAGATATATTATTGAGAAGGAGCAAGTTCTTTTCGACCATCTTAATTTAAACAGTTCATTTTTTATGCCATCCCCTAAGGTCAGTTATTATTAAAAGAAAATTTTATAATAAAAGTATCCTAATGATAATAAATTGTAGGTACGAAGACAAGGAGAAGTGGTTCAGAAGTTGGCACATATGATAGGGCACAGTGTCAAATTATACGACATGGTTCTCCAATTTTTAAGAACTTTATTTTTGAGAACAAAAAATGTTCATTATTGTACATTAAGAGCCGAACTGTTAATGGCTTTGCATGATTTAGAGGTAAAATGTGATGATGTAAATTAAGTAAATTATTAATAGATTAGTGGCAGGGGAAAAATGAACAAATAACAACAAAAAATTTGTCTTACAGGTTCAAGATATTATTTCTGTTGATCCCTGTCATAAATTTACATGGTGCTTAGATGCTTGTATACGAGAGAAAAATGTTGACGTTAAGCGTTCTCGCGAACTTCAAGGCTTCCTTGACAGTATAAAGGTAATTGTTATCGAACGCTTAAAATGTAAAGAGAAATAAAATTTGTATACAAATTATATAAATAATTAAGAAATACTTTTATACATACAGAGGGGACAAGAGCAAGTTCTTGGCGATCTAAGCATGACACTATGTGATCCATATGCAGTCAATTTTTTGGCAAGTAGTGCAATGAAGATTGCATTACATCTTATAAACGGAGAATCCTTACCTCGTGATAATGCGGTCCTAGTATTGTTACTCCGAATGCTTGCATTGGGCTTATCAGCATGGCAAATGATTGATTCTCAAGATTTTAAAGAACCTAAACTCGATAGTCAAGTTGTGACTAAGTTTCTTCCAGCATTGATGTCTCTAATGGTATCTTGATTTTAACAAAACATTTAATACAACTAATTTTAATATTAATCTATTATTTTATATCCAAGAATATTGAGAGAAAATTACACAAACTCCACAAGCTCTTAATTACATTATGAAGTAGAGTACTAAATTTCTTATTTATTCATTAAGCTTACAGTCTGTAAAGAACCTAATAATTACACACACAAATTTTAATAACTGGATTTAATGCATTTGGTATTTTATTAGTATAAAACATTTTATCTTATTTAACAACTATTTAATAATTATGATAATAATTATAATTTAATAATGAAAAGTATTTAATTCAATATATACTTTATACAAAAATTATTTGCCCCTAATAAATTTCGACTGTTTTTGATCGATTAAATTCCTATCTTATTAACTGAAATTAAGAATATGAAGTTTGCTATTTCAATTTACATTTATATTTATGTATGATAATATTTTGTAGGTGGATGATCAAATTCGTCAGTTGAATTGCCGACTACCGCCAGACGAACGTGAAAGCGCCATTGCAATAATTGAACACTCGGGTCCACCACCCGATGCCTGTCAAGCTTACTCTCAGTTATCCGGGGTCGCAGCCGTTTTGTCCATGTATTATGCACTTCACATAGGTGGCTTAGGTGCTGGTACGACTACGCAGAGTAAAACGCGCGGCGACGCTCGTGGATTAATGAGAGTCCTCGCAACTTTACCTAATTGTCAGGGTCAACGTGCCTATGAAGATCCTTTCCTTCATACACTGGTAAACTTAAAACTTTTTTCTTTTTATTATGAAATACAAAGCTCTTTTTTATTGCCTTTAAGTTCAAAAACTAAATCAATGACATTTTCATTGCAACTCTCAATAAAAGTGCATAATATATTTAATATTGTTTAAAAACTACATAGACAATTAAAAGAAATATTTCATATTATAAGAAATAGTTATATTAAAATAAAATTTATAAATTTTTAACTACCAGAAATAATATTAAACATTTAACTTAAGATACATTATGATAATGACAATTGTTTTCTTAATATAAATTTTTTTTATTTATATTTTAAAATATAATTTGTACAAAATTTAAAATTTCATTCGTTTCTAATATATCTTTCTATAATATATGTTATGTATAATATTATGCGTTATGTATTCTTTATTTATAGGTTCTATTACTCATTTTAAATATGGCAGACGAATTCACAAATGAATCTTTCTGTACTGTGATATTTGATGAATTCTTTTTAGCAGGTATGACAAAAGATAGCGTGACTCGTCATTTACTAAAATTATTATGGTGGGTACATCCTAAATTACCGGTAGCACGACTTCACACGCTTGTAAAGTCACTTGAACCTAATAGTCAGGTAAATTTATTATTTATTTATTAAAAAATTTGAAGAATTACTAATATTCTGGAATACATTTTTTTTTTTTTTTTTTTTTTTTTTTTTTTTTTTTTAGCTCTTTTTAGCATAATGAAGCTGTTCATAATTTGTATCAAGCTCTCAAAGATAAAATTGGAAATCAAACTAATGATGATACTGCAACACCACCAGCTGATGTTATTATGGAAGGCTCTGCTTCTCCTATTCAAAATTCTTCTATACTAAACGCTGCTTCCATTTAAAATTTAAAATAATTACAGATGTTTCGCTTGTGTAAATAATTCTAAAAAACATATCTATCCCTTTCTTATTTACTTCTAATAAATTTTGCTATGAAATAGTATCCAATTTTTTATATATTATGGTTTTAAGTTATTCATTCAATATCTTTGTACTATTGAATTCGTTTAATAATAATAATAATAATAATAACAATAATATATATATATATATATATATATATATATATATATATATATATATATATGTATAATCATAAATTAATAATAATTTATGAATATTACGTTCGTTATTCTAATTTTTCTCATTGTTATTTATATTATGCTGTTTTTAATTATTTATATTTAGATTAAATGACGCTATCAAAAGATTCAAATAATCTGGATCTAATTTATACGAAGTTAAAATCATGGATATATACATGTTAGCTTGTTGCGATGAAAGTAAAGATGTAAGCCAGGGGTCCAATAAACTAAGCCTACAAAATACAAATGTTATTATTACACAATCATGTCTAATATAATAAAAATATATGTAAAACTTATGCAATTGAATAATTATTAAGTTTTTTTTTTTTTTTTTTTTTTTTTTTTTTTTTTGATTCGATTAGTTATCGATTAATATTAATAAACAAGTAATTATTCAACTTGTGTTTCACGATTCTTACATTTTAATAATAATAAGGCCAACAAGAGTCCACTCGACATTCTTAAAAATTATATTTTTTGCTGATAAAGAAAATGTGTGTATCAGAGCTTTAATGGCTGTACATCTTACACTTGTGTAATTGCAACATGTTCTTGCATAAACTTCATTATTACCAGCTAAGGTTTTCAAAAGTTCTGGTAATCTATAAAGATTAAATGAATTTGTATTGAATAAATATAAACATTTTGTGTACAAAATTATTGTAAAATATATCTACATTTGATCAAGTCGGTCCAGAAAAATTTTGCGTCGAAAAATGTTAGGTGCTTGAGTATCAATCAAAGGTAAAACTGTGTTTGAACGTGTAGGCTGCTGTTCATTGTCCATCGGTTCAGGTTTTTCGATAACATTTGTTTCTTTTTGAAAACCTTTAACCTAATGAAAAATAAATAATTTTATGTTTCATTTATAATTAAGATAAGAAAGAACATTGTATTCAAAGATATTTTAAAATATATCATTATAAATTGTATATTACAATATAAGAAATCAATAACTCCATTACACTATATAAAATATTTAAAAATAGCATTACATTAATTATTAATGATATTGTTTTTTAAATAAACAACATTCTAAATATCATTTATTATTACAATAATCAGTAAAATGGCACAAAATATAATGTTTGTTAAGTAGTGCAATAAAGTATTTTCAACTATATAAGTCCATTAGGTAATAAAGCAAAAGATAATTGAAATACAAATTATTGATATTACCTTCAAATTAAGTTTTTGTCCTTCTTCTTGCAATATAGTGAAATGTGGCACGGGTTTCAATGAAGGTTTTATTATTTCAGATGATCTTGAAATTGTAATTTATATAATTTTTTACATAAAATAGAGTATTTGTCTTGTCTTTCTATATTCTCAATTGTTTCTTTTTTAATAGAATCAGCTCCAAATAGGAAATTAATCGTCTCTTCTGTAATCCATTCTTTAAAGCTTGCTTCGACTTTAGTAGCTAAATTTATCTCAATACTTGCTTTGTTTTCCACTTGTCTTAACTTTTCTTTGTGTTTTAATTTTTTATAGTGCTTATGTGATTTATCATTTGTCGCTTTCTCAGAAGAGCATTTATTTGTACTGTCTTGCAATTTTTTATCACAATTAGCAATATTTTGTAAATTGACATTTTCTATTACAGCTGGTATGTGTTTGGCAGCATTATCAACTTGTTTTTTGTTAATATTTGTTTCATCAAATTTATTTCCAACATATTCAAGAATATCTTTAATTTCTTTAATATTGCAATTAGCTTCAATTTCGTTATTAACGTTTACCTCATCATTACTTTTAATAGCATTTGCATCAGTTAGAATTGCGTTTACTTTCAAATCTGCTTTATCAATATGTTTATTTTTAACAGCTTTACAAACATTGTCATTAAAATCATCTTTATGAATAAATTCATTTAATCGAATGTCTTTTGTGGAAATGTTTGTATCTTTCTTATCCTGTGATTCATTCTTTAAACAATGATCGATAATAGCAATATCAAGTTCTTCTCCATGTGAAACACTTGGTATTGAATTATCTTGGGAAAAAATTCGAAACTTTGGTACTTCCTCTTTATCTCTTAACCATAAAGGACTCGTAGGTATTTGTTCAAGTAGATAATTTGAAGCTCCAAAACATTTAGAGCTACAAAAGTGTTTTCTCTTAGTAACATCATAAACTTTTTTATTCTTTAATGAAATGTGATAGCGTTGATTAATAATGACTGTAAGTGGTTTTGGGCACAAAACGTAACCACATAACTTTATTATTGCTCGTTCTTCAATAACATCTTCCATATGACACTTATTAATATGTATTAGCTAGAATACAATAATATAAAATTCATAAATACACAATACAATGCCAATGTTTAATAATAAATATACAAACGTTATTTAAAAGCCATTCGGATTCTATTTGAGGTTCCAGTAAACGTTCTACAATTAGCAAAGCTTTTAAATCAGATTCCTTCTTCTTTATAATGGCCAATTGCATTTGTTCTTTTCTGTAATTATATATTAAATAATTAAAAATATATTGCATCGATAAACTGGGTAAGAATTTTGAAATTGAACATAGGAAGAGGATCGATTTGTTCGCTGCTAAACAAAACTGTTCTCTGTTTTCATAAATTTCATAAATTTTCAATTACACATATGCTAATTGACACACGAACGTATAAATAAATTTTAAATTAAAATAAAGTAAATCGCTAATGAAGCATAATTTAATATAAAAATTATAAATAATGAATAAAATTGTTATAATGCCGTAAACTTTATTGAGCTAATGCTTTTCTTAATGGTGAATTGGAGAAATTCATTTTTAAATTTTATTCATAAAGTCTATTTTATAAGGCTAAGAACGAATACAAATTTACAATAATAATTTACAATAATAGGGGCGAATGAATCCGGCGGTATTTGTTGATTTGTCATAAAAAAAAAAACTTAAGAAATTTATAATAATTGTAAAAAATTATTTAACTTTATTAATTTCTAGTTATAGAAAACAAGTTTTTTCTATTTGTTTTTGTTTTAAAAAATTAATCGTAACTCTTCACATTATTTTGACTTACGTCATTTTCTTCTTAACTTTGGCTCTCATTCCGGCATTTCCCGTCATTTTACTCATATTTTTGTCTTTACTTTTTGTTAGCAAAGCATAAAGTACTACTATTTAATACACATCTTGAAAATTAATTCATGTAAATTTTGCAATACAAAGCTGAAGGTACACCAGTTATCAAAAATTAAAGAGATCATGGAGCAAAAATCTACAACAGCGCCTAATATTCAAGTGTAAACACACGCATGCGTGAATTACAATTTCATGTGTTTATTCATTATTGTCCGCACTCCGCAATGTATTAAACTGCGTCTACTAATCACTGTATACAGTAAGAAAAAGTTAAAAAAAAAAAAAAAATCCAAATAACCGTAGCCGCTGAAGGCCGATTAGTGCAAGCAATTCACACTCAACACCACTGGAATTCCACACTCCGCCAGCGCTGGACATAGTCTACGTTCCACACTATATCGTGTGTAGGAAAATAGTATTTGGAGGACCCGGGGGTGACTTTTACATTCCACCAGTGACATGTCGCTAATCAGCACCTTGTGGAAATGTATTTTCAGTCCTCGGCTTTATAAATTCTACGAAGTTTCATGGGTAGGGCGTCTCATCGACGTGGGTATAACCCCTTTAAATCACAAAATATCATCCATTAGCTCTCCTCTTTTATGCAGAGCTTTGGTTGTTTTGCATTGTAGGTTACTAGGCTGGTTTATACTTTTAATAAATTCCTTCTAATTGATTTACAGAAGCCGTATGAAGCAAAAGGACTGGAAAGATGGGGAGATCATGTTGTTATTACGGTAAGTCGTTCTTTTCATTTCTAGTTTTTATATAAATTTAACCGACTGGCTCATTGACACTACATGGAATTGGCTGCTTAACTTTTAATAATAAACTTTACAAAGTGAATTTATTGGAAATCCAACTAGAATATCCAGAAAGCACTTTTATTTTTAGAATGTATAATTAATTAGAAGCAAACGTAATCTGATGATAGCCGATTGTATTTAATCTTTTATTTTATGAATATTTCAACAAATTCTGGAACAAATATCTATTACATTGTATGTAATTTTAAGTAAATAATCTTTATTAACAGTACTATATTTGTATTTATTATTGTAGTTTGTAACAGCATGGTCTTTCACCATATATGCCATTCCACTGATCGTAATAGTCTTATTTAGAAGAGGTTCGCCTTTGGCAGATGCCTATACGATAACTCAATTTGTAACAGGAGCGAGTATTCTATTAGCGACATCTCTTATGGCTAGAGGATACTCAAGAGCGAAGAATCCGACTTATTTGAAATTTATGAAAGTGCTAGATAAAACAAAATCTCATTATCCTAATATTAAGCAGGAGCTTGGCAAATATGATTTTGAGTTTTGGGCATGGCCCATTGATTTTGATGTATCATCATCGGACAAGTAAGCGTCTCAATTTAATGACAACTATTTCCTTTAATAGTTTAATGTTTATGCATCTATATATTAGATCATGAAAAATATTATCAAGCCTTTTTTTTTTTCGTGTTAAAATTGTAATAGCAAAAAAAATTAAGTAACCATATATCTGTAAAATGTTGTTTTCATAAATGTTTTTATTAATTTACAGGAGTAAATATAAAAGAAAATTAACATTACAAAATCTGGATTCAAGTAGTCGAGCAATGAGTCCTAGAAGAAGAGATTCGATACTCACTGTACCTTGTAAAATTCTATCATATGGCATTGCTCACACCGTCGCCCTAAAATTAATATATCCAGGATCTATTTCTCTTGTCAATTGGATAATGAGTTGGTTTTAAATTACTTGTACTTTTAATTATCCTAACTCGATTGTATTAACAATATAATGCATTTGAATTTGTAGGTGGAATGCTTTTACAAGGTAGAATAGATTTAATCAAAATTGGAGCGGAGAGATTTAAGTTATTAACAGCTGATAATAATGAAATAGATGCAATTTTTTTGGATCGTCGATACAAGTACTAAAATTAAATTATTATATTAGCTATAGTTTTAAAATAAAGTAAGCAAATTAATGAATTACAAAAGATATTTAACGAGAGTTTATATCATTAAAATATTAAAATATTATATCTTTTAGAAATGAAAAAGTTAAAAATTGTGAAAAATAATATAGATCATTGTTATTAAATATTCTAATGCTTTTAGGAATACAAACGGTACAACGCTCGTTATAACGTGTGAAGGAAATTGTGGATTTTATGAGATTGGAATCATTACCACTCCATTGAATAAAGGTTATTCTGTTTTAGGGTGGAATCATCCAGGTTTCGAAGGTAGCACTGTAAGTATTCTATAAGAGCTTTATAAAAATTATTTATATTTATCTTAAATATATATATTGCAATTTTTAATTAAATATAATTAATTTATATCGAGAAAAAAAAACCATTAATAATGTGTGAATAATTTAATAATTTATATAAAAGGGCCTTCCATTTCCTGACCAAGAAGAAAATGCTATTGATTGTGTAATGAAATTCGCTATTAATAAACTAGGATTTCCAGAAAATAAAATTATATTAAATGGTTGGAGTATTGGAGGATACACAGCTTCTTGGGCTGCCATGAATTATCCTTACATTCATAGTCTGGTAAAATATATGATTATCGAATTTAATATACAATAATATTTTTCAAATTGAATATTTCCATACGAATTAAACAATGATAAATGATGTATATGACTTTTTTTTTTAGCTCCTGGATGCAACATTCGATGACATCTTACCACTGGCATTAGCTCGTATGCCTACATCGATAGAACCTTTAGTACGAAATGTTATTAGAAATTATTTTAATTTAAATATTTCGGCACAGTTAAATAGGTACGTGAAAATTTTAATGATTTTTACGCTATCTTCCCGTAAATATTTACGTAATCTAATATTCGATGTATCGACAGGTATGACGGTCGCGTTTTAATAATTAGAAGGACCGATGATGAAATGATTTGCGTACCAGATAACTGTTTAGCAGGAAATAGAAGTAATAAGTTATTGGAGAAATTATTATCTCGACGATATCCTAATCTTTTTGCTAATTCTACGGATTCATTTACGCTTTTATCAAATTTCCTTGCTGCGCCGACATACGCCGCTAGACGTAAGTTGTGAGCAAATGAAAAGTATTTGAGTTAAATATAAAAACAGTAACAGAATTATTAATATAAAGAAATATAAAATTTAATTTTAGAACTTATAGTGGATGATATTGGGGTCGATCAAAGCCGTTGTATAAATTTGATAGCAACCGATATTTTAGACAATAACAGTATTGTAAAATATCCATCAAAATTGGGAAGAGACTGTAATTACAAAACAAAACAACAACTTGTAATTTATTTGGTAAATATAATTATGAAATTAATAAAATTAAAAATTTCAAGATAAGGTTAGATTTAAAATCTCTAATAGTACATACAAGATTTTTAAAAAAGTCAATATTTAATAAAAAAAAAATTATTTATTAATTAAAATGTTATAAAATTAATACATACAAAATATCGTTTTAATTTACAATGCTCCTCCATATATAGATAAATAACAATTAATTTTTTAATTATAGGCGACTATGTACATGGACGAACAAAATTCGCAACATTGTATACCACTGACTTCTGAACTTTTCCGATCTGGTTGGGATCCAATGTCTACAATAAAGATTACGAATAAGGAAACTGATGATTTTTGTTAAACAAATATTATGTGGCTGTGAGCTTTAATAAGAACTCTAACGTTGATGTTAAATTTAAAAAAATTATAATTTTATGATTATGGTGGCTGAAACGAAGGATCAGGGTAAATTATTTAAGAAATTTCGACATAGTGTTTTTGTACGCGAAGCAAATATTTTTTTTTTTTTTTTTTTAACAAATTACTAAGCAAGCATTTATTAAGTCACCAAAATTTATGTTTTTATAAATTATGGTATATGGAAACATAATTACTGCTTATATTTAAGTCTACTGGCTTAAACTAGAATAAATAAAAAAAAAAACGAAAAGATACATGTATATTTAATAGTCATATACTTATATTTGATGTGATTACTTTTTTTAAAAATATTCATCATTTTTATTTTAATTATTATACTGACAAGCTATTTTTTATATATCAATCAATACAGGAGATCAAAACAAACAAAATTTAATCTTATGTATATGAGATAGCCTACCTATTTTCAATATTTGATAAATATACGTTATTTAAAAATTATATATGCTTTTTGTGTATATGTATATATTTTCCCAGAGAAAATTAATTATCAATAAATAAATTATATAAAACTCTTGTAAATAATGAATTTACATAATCATAAATATTTCTCATAATGCTTGCATATAATATTTAAACAAATAGTAAAATAATTTATTTGTTGATTATGCTAAATTCATAAGGTAATTAATTAATTTACTTTAAAGATAAAATTTTTAGATGTTAACAGTCATTAGGGGCAATGCATTAAGAGCCTTTTTTAACGAGCTTCTGGCTTCTTGAAAGGGATCGACTAGCCTAAATCTACTTGTTATTATTGGCTTCTCAATGAATACTTTCAAGGTGGCTCTAGTTTGTGGAAGAAAATAATCCTTATGACAGACATTTTCTAGTGCTTTCAAGCAACCTTCCAAATTCCAATCAATTTTTGAGGCATTTTTGTCTTCACTCTGTAAATTTTTCAAATTTATAATTAGTAAATTAATCGATTCCCTAAAAGTTTGAATAGTATATGATACATTAATCATTTAAAAATATATTAAAACTAAATTAATTCACTAAATTTAAGAATAAAATTATAATCTTATTTATAAAATGTATGTCTAATTACAATTTATATTATTAACTGAATGTTTATTCTTTTGGTTACTTACTTTTAGTAAACCTAGATTAACTAGAAGTGCATTATTTAATCTAGGGATTTGATTACATTTTATGGCAATTGTAAATAATTCTAAATATAATCGTTCCGTCACTTGTTCAACAAGATGTGCAACATCCATAAAATTAGTTTTGCTCAGCGCAGATACTTTCATTATGACTTTCACAATGTTATTCATTTGATCTTCACTTTCAACTTTGGATATATTCTAAAAATGTAATAATACATTATAAGCAATTAATACATTTTAAATAAATTATTCCGTATTATTAAAGCACCGTTTTTTTTTATTTACATCTACCTTAACTATACATTATATGTAAATAAATAAGAGATTGATCAAAGATACATCGCATCAAAATCTAATTTAATAAGACATTGATTTAGAGAATATTGACTTAATAGTCGAATTTCTGATAATTTAATTATTAATTATCAATTACTAACATTATTTACTGCATTTACTTACTTCTATATAATCAAGGAATACTTGTGTCTTGTCACCTTGTAGTAATATAAAATTTTCTTCGGTGGGTGTTTGCAGGAATTCTTGAACAGTCATTGTTTTTATTAGTTTTTTCATTGTATTTAAACTTTCATTTTTTTCTTGATCATCAGTTTCAGTACTTTCTTCTTCGTTTTCAGTATCTTCTTCATCATCCTCGTCGTCTTCGTCGTCGTCGTCATCATCGTCGTCGTCGTCGTCGTCGTCGTCATCGTCGTCATCATCATTATTTTCTTCCTCCGACTCTACTTCATCATCATCATTATTTTCTTCCTCCGAATCTACTTCATCATCCTCATCACAACCAAACATGTGCAATGAATCAAATCTACCTTTAAACACTTCGATTAAGATATTTTTCCCTTCTTCTTGAAAATAATTCCCTTCAAGAACAAGAGTATTAAGTTGAGTTTTATCAGCCATTGCCTTTGCAATAACATTGGCACCTCGAACACCAATTTCATTGGAGCTCAAATCAAGTTCGGTAAGCAACGAGTGACTACCCTTGTCGGCTAAAGATTCAGCTATTACTATTGCACCAGATGTCTTTAAAAGGCAATCTCCAAGGTTCAACTGCTCCAATAAAGGAAAATTATGCAAAACTTGCGCTAATGCTTTGGCTCCTTTTAAGCCGAATGTATTGTCATTAAGATTTAAAATTCGTAGGTTCGTGTTCTCTGCCAAGCCAGTAGCAAGAGCAGAAATTCCCTTGTGATAAATACCATTCTGAGGCATGACTACTTCCTCTAAACTTTTTAATATTTTAAAAACCGATGCTAAAGCTGAGGCTCCTTCGTTCTCAAGTCTGTTTCTTCCTGCGACAAATACCTTTAGTCCCAAAGGTTTTAACATTTCTTTTTTACTTTCAGCATTACAAAGTAACAATGCCTTGGCCAACAATTTTCCACCAGAAATACCAAGGCCATTATTGTTCAATCTCAACTCTTGTAATGTATAACAGGAACTGGAACTTAAAAGAGATGCCAATCCTTGTACACCAATTGGTCCGAAGGCATTGTCACTTAGGTCAAGTTCCACGAGCCTAGTTCCTGCCGCACATAATCCCTGTCCTAGATATTCCAAAGCAACTGGAATTTCATCTTTCATACGTCCAGTAAACATATCTTTCCACAAAGCTCTTTTTAAATTAGTTCCACATTTTTCAATAACTTTGGAAATACTTTTAGCTGCATCAGGACCAAGAGTGTTACCTTCAAGGTCCAAGAATTCCAAATTTTTACACTTTTCAATAGCATCCACAACTTCTTTTGCTGTTACAATAAAAATAATTTTACAATAAATATAACAATAAATATTACAAAAATTTAAATAATATTTAGTAAAAAGTATTTTACTAAAATTTATTTGTATTTACATCAAATGTAATACTAACAAAAAATATAAAATTAATAATCTTATCAAAATTAATTAAAATGATTAAAATATCAATTTTTAAAAATCATAATCATAATCAAAATTTACCAAAGCATTTATAAGTTCCTTTTAAATATATATTTGCTTATAATGTATTTTTATTGAATTGAATTAGATTATTTTTAAAATTATTTTATTTATTATTTAAATTTTCTCATTTGCAATTTCATTTTATGCTCGACAAATTTTTCACGACTTTACAAAATTTTTATGAAAATTTTTTTGAAAGAAAACACAATCTGTAAATTAAAAGTATGTTAAAAAAGTAAACACATAAACGTAAAATAAACGTAAGAATAAGAAAATCATTCATAAAATTAATAATAACAAACAAAATAGACGTTAAATAATACAGCTAATTCATCGTTATGGAAGTCGAATCAACGGCAGAACCAAAGTGGTTAAAAAAAAAAAAAAATAAATTTGTGTATTATTAAAAATATGATTGCACAAGAATAAACAATAATTTACCATCATTTTCATTATTGAGTTTTAATGATTTTCCAGCAAATGAGACACCAGATCCTTTAGTTTTTAGGCTAGCTTCGTTTAACGAATCACCAATTGCATTAAAATCGAAAGCTGACATTTTTTTACTTTAGTTTTACTGGACACAAGTGACGATACTTTCAAATTTACTTATTTTATTGAAAGAATTATTATATAAAAATACAGTAATCAACTATATAATCTTTTGAATATTGTTTTTAATGTACACAAAGAAACACGAGAAAACGTACGCGGGAAAAAATATAGACTACGCCATCTTCCTAAGTACTACGTGCGTCAATGAAATGTTACGCATCAATCAAATTGCCCTTAACTTTTTCAATGCACTATGCTGTGCATGTATATACGCGCGTATGTAAACACATAAAAATATATGCATGCATATATATACATATATATATATTTACAGATAGGCGTGTGTGTCATATATAAATATTATATATAATTAGATATAGTAAAATGTACATCTTTATTTTGTTTGAATATTTCACACTTTAATTGTCAAGCTTTATAAATAAAGTTTAGTAATAACTTGCTTTAATAATAAATTTAAGTTTATTTACGATTGCTTAGTTAAACCATTGTGAATAGATATGGAATAAAATATATATTAAAATACAATAATTTGATAAATTATTATTATTTGCGTGTATATTATTTTTCTTTGCAATGATTAAAAAATCGATTATGGTTTCTTTTAACACTATTCATTCATTAATTTTATTCATTAAGTAACATTTCGTACATTAGATCAAAGCATTAATAATATATAAGCAAATTCAGCTTATAAATATTTATACAACATTTTTACACAGATTTAACGACTATACAATATATATGCTTCAAAATATAAATAATTACGAGTTCAAATGTAAGGGTTTAGCAATGTTAATTAGCATTCAATATTCATTGAAAAAAATTACTCTATAATATTTCATATATTTATATTTGAATTATATTGCTTACAATCAATAAATTTAACAATGACAGCTCGTTGTGAAAAATAAAAAATATATATTTCTAATTGAAAGAATAAATTTTAATTAAAAGACAATTTTCTAAAGCAAATATTGTAAATTAAAATTATGATTTATTAACATATATAAACTTTTAAATAACATTTATATTAAAAGAAAAAGAATTAAAAATTAAAACATTACTCCAGAAAAGTTATTTTTAACGAAAAATAATTTAAATAAGATTGAAGAATATGTAATTGAAAAGGCTTTCTGTAAAAAAATTTTTTTTCAATCGCACTTATTACGAAAATGTGTGTAATTTTAGTTTAATTTAAGAATTTTTTGTTAACGAAACCTCTCCATTTTTTCACAATTTTCCCAAGACAATATCCCCTAAAGTAGTGCTAATATAACTAAGAAGTACTGTCAAATAACAGCTAAGGGTCATGATTCTGCACCCAACGAATGGAATCCATTTAGTCGATGGGTATTGAGTAGGAGTACTCGGATTACTGATCAAATTCATCTGCTACAGAATACCAGTAGTGAGGAGATTTAACTAACTACACGTGTTTGTAGTCTACACGCGGCGGCGCCTTTTTAAGGTTAAGGCAATTTTGTTATTAACTACTCTTTAAACACATGGAATGTAGTAAAAAAAATTAATTAATTGTAAAAGAGATTAGTGACAAATTTTAAATCCCATAATGAAGACTAAGCCAACCAAACATAAAGAAACTAATACTTTTAAGGTGAGTATAATCTGATTATAACTTATTTATTTCTAAATTAAATTTTTCTTATCTTATATTGGTTTATAATAATAGTAATTTTTTTGTTTTTTATAGAATGTTTTTTTATCCGTACATTCAAATAAATTAATTTATTTATACATTTTTTTATTTTACTTCGTATTTAAGTTAATACAAATATTATTAATTTAATAATAAGACAGTTTTGATAAAATCATGTAATTAAAATTCGATGTAGTACTTATTAAATTTGTCTTATTATTAATGGATAAGTAAACAGAATATTGTTATTGAACTTAATAATTTTGATATAATTTTTTTTATACAGATGTTTGTTTATACTAATATTTTCTTTTAAATTGCAGTTTAAACCATTTTTGGAGAGGGTAAACGAAATCGATATCGATGTCTTTCATAAAGTTGCACATTTTAATGAAATAGTTCATAATGAAACTGAAACATACTTTTATCAATGTGTTCAAAAATGGAATTTTCTTAATCTTTCCGAGAACTATTGCAACTTCAGGAAAGAAGTGGTAGATATAATTACTTTACCACAATTACTTAATAAAAAGCAACACGTTATCGATACGCTACTGAAGTATTTAAAATTAAAAGATCCATTATGCCTCTATTCGATTTTTGAGTAAGTCTTGATAAAAAATTACTTTACCAATAAAATTAGCATTAATATAATTACTAAAATTTTACTATAATTACTATAATTTTTTACTTTTGATTTTCTTAAATTATTTCAACATTCGTTAATAATTATGAACATTATTTGTTTTGTTTAGATTAACAATTGCCGTGGTCAAGGACTTGCAATTAGATTTTTATCCATACTTTCCAGAATTTTTAGCAAGTATTACTAGCTTATTATATACGAAAGATGCTGAGCAACTTGAACATACTTTTACCACGTTGGCCTATTTATTTAAATTTCAATGGCGTTACATAATCAAGAATGTAGATAAGGTCTTTGATATACTTGTCCCGTTATTAGCAGATACGTATCCACCTTATGTAAATAATTTTGCTGCCGAAAGTTTTGCTTTTGTGGTACGAAAAGTAAAGGAGAAAGAGGCATTTTTAAAACTAGTACTTCAAACTTTGGAAGTTAGACGAGATGGAGTGGCTGGCTGTGGAAAGTTATTATTTCATGTACTTTCTGGTATTGCGGGTCAATTTCATTCATGTACTGAAACTATTTTAACTTTATACATTAACGCTTTGTTAAATCCATTAATAAATCAGCAACTTCTTATCGAAGTACTGTCTACGGTATTTTCCTGTATTGCGCATGAAATCAATCCTAACAAATGTGATATATTTTGGACTGTAATTTTTAAAGAAATAGATGCATTCTCTGATAATTCATTGGTTAGTTTATTACAATTAATACAAATTGTAATAAATTATAAAGGTGGACAAATGCTCAAAGATTCTTTAATTTGGTCTAAAAAATTATGTGAAATGATTGATAAATATCAGAATAGTAGAGGAGTTTTACAGGAAATTATTAATGCTGTTACCGTAACTCTTCTTGCATCGAATATAACATTATTGCAAGAGACTTCAAGTTTTTTAATTATAAAACTGTTATCTATCAATGATCAAGATTTATTAATACAGATTACTGAAAAACTTATTACGTATTCAGCTTTCGAAAGTCTAGTATTGCCACAAATATTGAAGAAAAGTATATTTTCTACCATGGATGAAAAAATGCTTCAATTGTTGGCAAAAATTATTGAAGCAAAATCTCCTCCAATTCTGTGTGGTATAAATTTTGATAAATGGATTAAATTTAATTTGGATATTCGTTGCATGGATAGCACTATATTTCTAACAAAGATTTTGGATTCTTTAAAAGAACGTGACATTACAGAAGATGCTTTGAAAGTTTTAATTATATTACCACATTTGACTCATTTACAAGAACAACTTCGTTTAAAATTGATTGAAATTTTTGTTTTCTTATTTAAAAGAGTATTACAGGAAAAGCATCACCGGCAAAGGGTAAATTTTTCATTTATTTTGACAATGGAATCTGTTATTCATATTATGAAACCTGATGATTTTCATTGTTTGATAAGTGAGCATGTTTCTTGGAATAATGATTTATTGTCGGCATTAAATTTACACCAGAATGATATTTCAGTACTAAATGCTTTAGACCTCGGTCTTACTTATCTCAAAAATTCAAATCACTCCGAGGAATATTTCAATAAAATTAACTTTGACAAGCTTCATCAAACATTGGCTTCGAAATTAGGTAAACATTGCATATTTTTTATTTCTTTACGGTTAATAATTCTTAAAAAAAATACAATATAATATAATTTACAAAGAGTAAGGCAATTTTTTTTTTTTTTTAATAACAACGCAATGTACTTGTATATCAAAGTAATGTGAACCAATGAATTCATTAAAGGTCTAATGGTTCATTCGTTTATAAAATTTACAAATATTTAATAAAGTATTTTGTAAAGCAATGCTAAATGTTTTAATGATATTATTAATTAATGATAAACAAGATTTTCTTGCGTTTCATCAAATAATTCTGAAATCTCTAAAAATGATTAATAAGAATGTAAATATGATCGATTTTTCGTTTTTAATTAAAAACAGACGCGATCAATTAATTCATAATCTTACGTTTGTCATATTAGGTTCGATGAATCCCATTATTCGACTGACCACATCGCATATATACTCATTATTTTCAAATATGCCTGGCTTGAATCACTTTACAAATAGTATGGATCGTTCTGCAAATAATGCAGATTTCAAAAATGCATTTGAATTGCCGTACCTAGTGGAAAGTGAGCCGATAACGCTTCACAAATATCGAGAAAGATTACAAGGTTTACGGGCTCTCGACTTTCGAGGTGCCGCTATTAGTCGATTGGATGCGAATTATAAAGATGCTCCACTGCATTATCTCTTTGGCAATCTTTACATAAACTTTTCACTGTTGTGGGATCCCGTTTGCGAAGTCTTAATATCATATGCTACCGACGAGTGCTCGCAATTCTGGCCGCTTTTTCTCTCAAAGTTGAAAAATGAAAATAAACTGGAGGTCACACCCGAGGTACCATTTTTTGAATGCGATATATTATCCAATATGATTAGTCGACTTTTTTCTTCTTCTGATAAAGTGGATCACGACAATTACACATTCTTGCTATGGAAGTGTATGCATCAGATTGTTAATTATTGCGAGGTAAAGAATCGCGACTTTGTCGGTGTATTCATCGACTTCGTTGATTGTCATTTTTTCAAGTCGGACTCGGAAGATGCCAAATCTTGTAATATCTTGAAACGAGAACAAGAGATCAATTCCAATGACGAACAAGGTAAAATGGCTTCTAAATACTAATTTTTAACATGTTGATAATTTATCATGATTATTCTTGTAAAGTGATCGTTATTTTGTTGACTCCGAAGACTCGTGGGCCTATTAATTCATTTAAATAAGAACGTTACTTTATAAAAATTTCTTTATATCATCGCAAGATATTTATTTCATTGTATTTCATTATTTTTTAAAATAAAGTTTGATTTATCCTTCCGCCCACGTGTTGATTTACATAAACATTTTCATTCGAAGGTAATCTGTAATGTATATCTTGACATAAAATTTAGCGCTTAAATGTTGCTTCGCGCGTGTTGATAATTCATTTTTTATAAATTCTAAATTCTAAAATTATAAATTATACATTCATTTTTCTACTTGTAATTTTTAAACTGCTCTTTATGTATTAATTAAACAAGATTTACAAGATAGCGATGGTCATATAGAAGAAGAAGAAGAAGAAAAAGAAAAAGAAGAAGAAGAAGAAGAAGAAGAAGAAGAAAAAGTGAAAGAGGAAGATAATGACGACGATGAAACAAAGGAAGAAGTGAAAGGGGAAGATAATGACGATGATGAAACAAAGGAAGAAGACCAAATAAATAATGAAAAGGAATGTGCAAGTGAACAGAAGGAATTTCATTCTAAATTAACGAGAACAAAATCTGTCAAGCTTTTACTGGCTATGCTACAGACCTTCGGTAAATTCACCAATACTCGTTCGCTCTATCGCGAACCCGAGATACAAAAAATCTACCTCGATTTACTCAGTTCGAAAAATTCGGAGATTCAGAAAGCCTCACTCGCGTGTCTTTACACTTACAAGCACAAATATCTCATGCCTTACAAGGATCATCTGGACAATATCGTCGACGAAAAGAACTTGAAGAACGAGCTTATTCGCTTTCAGATTAGCGTCGATGAAGCTAATCAAATTGTCTTGCGAGATGAACATCGTGAAGATCTCATGCCTATTATAATGCGCATTTTGCATGCGAAGATGATGCAAAAAGTGGGAATGAGAACGGGCGGAAAATCTGGCGGACTTGTCAAAAGAAAAACCATTCTTAGGTAAAGCAACGATTCATTAATTATTTAAAATATCTAGTTGTGTATTTATTCAAATAATAACTCGACACATTTTACATGCTCTCCTGCCGCAGAACATTATGCACGTTGTTACATTCTGTGAATGGAAATAATTTGTAATATAGTACATACCATTTTCATTCAAAAATTATTTTCATAATTTTTATACCAAGTATTAATTTCTAAATTTCAATGTATAATCGTCGTTTGGATTATTGTTTTAATATTTTTAATACACATCGATTGTAATTCATAATGGTAGGAGTAAATTTGTAAATTTGTAAATTTCATTAACAACCTAATTAATTTTATTAATAGATCGATTGGTAAGAGTAATATTATCATCAATTTAGAATTATTCAAAATTATAATGAAAATTTGTAAATTTGTCATTTTATTTCTAAAAGCTAAATGATTACACCAATTAACAACAAAAATCATATCCCATATAAATAAAAGATTTCTTTTATATTTTTCTATTATATCGCTTCTAGGTTTCTAGCTGGTGTAAAAGAGGAAGAAATGATGATATTTGTAAGAATGGCCTTCAGACCATTTCAAAATTATCTGCCCATATTAACTGCTAACAAGGAAAATCAATCGAAAACAGATTTGCGACAAATGGTACACGACATCATTAACAATATAAATCTAGAGGCTGTTATTCCTCCGAAACGTTTACAAAGTATTGTAAATTTATTATCTGTGATAATTGAGCAGTTTGGTGGGAAGATGATGGAGAAGCTTTTGCCCCACTTGTTTGCTCTACTTATATGCGTTCTGGCACATATTTCTGCAATACTTAGTAAAACTAATAAAGTGCACTCCAATTACCTAATGCCCATTCGTAATGCACGTAATAATTCCATTAATATTTTGGCTCGATTTTTTATACATTTTGAGGATTACGATTGGTCCAGCTCGGAAATTGATGCATTATTCGATGTTGCGGTATTTCCATGGATACAGAAATTGCCAATCGAGGGGATACATACCCCAACGCCTTTATTAAAGATGATGGCAGCTTGGAGTAAAAATCCTCGATATTATTCGCTGTTTGTCAAGTTGAATGAGGTATGAATAAAAGATTTTATGTAGAATACAAACTGATATCAATCGATACTGTACTGTTCACTCTTCAAAACAAATTATAGCTTCCACGTATAGATATATTTGATATCATTTAGCCATTTATTTCCCGTTATTCTACACTTTTATTTTTTTTTATATTCAAATAGTTCATAATTATAAATATAAACGAATCAATTTATTCTATGTTAATTGAATGTCTAATATCAATAAATATTAATTAATTATTAAGAATAGATAATTAGTTCTAATATAATCATTAATACGACAGTATATCGATTGATATCGCTATCAAATATATTCATAAAACTAATACAATTTTTTGTTTTTTCTTTTTTCTTTTCTTTTTTTTTTACGTTTAAGGATAAAGAAACGCCGTTAATTTTTCTAGTAAAGCTATTGTTATTTGAAAGAACACACAGATGCGTATTACAAACGCTTCTCGATATGTTTGAAAAAATGCTGACATTCCAAGATTTTGAAAGAGAAGATCCAGATCGAATAGATGTTGATGAATTTAAACCAAAATCTATGCTTCCGATCGTTTGTAATAAACTAGATATCGTTAAAGATGAATCAATAAATTACGGATCGGCAATTCTGCTTCCGCACATTACCGATATCCTTAAATTTTTTGAAAGAAATTTAAAGAAACACTCGAGACATATTACCAATAGAACTGAATTAATTATTCTTTCACGTATTTCTGAATTTGTTTTGGATCCTAAAACATGTAACACGTTATTAATCCTTATTTTGCCAATTCTCCAAAAAAAATGTCGCGATTCCGAGGAGACAGTCGTACAATTACTGACTACAATAATAAATCTCATTAAATACGTAGAAAAACCAGAATTACACTTAAGATCGATTCAGCACTTTTTATTCCAAATTAAATCAGCGTCATCGAGAAAAATTTTAATGGAAATTTTAAATATTGTGGTTAAAAATAATGAAACAATGAAGAAAAATCAAGCGGTATTAATGAATTTAAATGCTTATGACCAAAGATGGATCGATCAACCAGATTATGAAAAGAGATTAAATGCCTTTGAAGAGATTGACAGATTAATTAAGGTATTTTATTCTCATTATTTTACTGTATAATTTTATTCTATCATAATATTATTTCATATTGAATTTAAAGTACTATTATACTGATATCTTAACAATATTAACAATCTTTTAAAGATAAATTTTGTATTTAACATATTAATTATAGCTGAAATTCTATATTTAAATTTAGAAAAAAGGAAGAAAATTCTGTTAATATTCCAGTTTTAAACAAAAAGAACGCTTTAACTTTAAATAATATGCATTTATAGGATTTCAGAGATTTTAAGATATTTATTTATTTGAGGTCATTCGTTAGAACGAGGAAGCGTTGAAACATAACTTTATATAAGTCTTATCTATGATAAATAAAGAATTCGAAAAAGCGAATTTCGTAATAAATTGTACATGTACAGATAGTGTAATATATTTATTTATAAACATTTACATGTTACAGACTATTGCTTTGCTGGCATTTAATAATTTTTTCAAAAATTAATTTTTTATCGATATAACTAACTATTCAAATATTCAATTCTGTATATATAAGATTCTATGTAATAATAACTGTAATTATTTATTTAAACTAACCATATCAACTTAGAAGTAAAAGTACAATTTAAATACCATTGCTATAGAGTTCTAATACACCTAAATTATTTTTAATTACGTTGATTTTTTCTTGTAAATTTTTTTATATTTTATATTATAAGTATTAACATTTTCGTTTTAAGGCAAACGAAATAACCCTGGAATTCGGCGTTGGTGTTATCCTCAACTGTTTCTTTTTCTTAAAAACCGATAACGATTTAGCTATAAGGGATAGATCGGGTCAGTGCTTAAAAGTAATCGGTGTTTACCTGGCTAAAAAGTTCAAGGACTCTGCGATTGACCGAAAATATCTTTTGGAAGAAACAATTTTAACAATCGTCAGATACGGTATCAGGAGCAAAGTTGAAAATATTAAATTTCAGTCAATAGCTTTTATAGGGCATATGGCTATGGAATGTCCCGATGTTCATCCAGTATTGAAAGATTTGCATACGTTGACTAATAAACAAGATCCAGAAGTCGATTTCTTTGAAAATATGCAGCATTTACAATTATATCGAAGATCCAGAGCTTTTCTGAAATTTTGCAAGATTGCGAGAAGTATGACAAAAGCGCCAAACTCGAGAACACTAACGCAGTTTATTTTACCATTATGTTCCTCATACTTATGCAACGAAAAATATATACACAAGAACAGTTTAATTGATACTGCAATCGAGACAATTGGAGTTGTATGCCAACTGTTGCCCTGGAATCAATACGAGATTGTTTTAAGATTTTATCTTGTTAAATTGAGAATGTGCACGGAATTTCAAAGACAGATTATTAGGATCGTGGTTGCGATTTTAGATTCTTTTCATTTTAATTTATCAAAGTACAAAGAAGTTGAAGAATTGTCAAAGGAACACAGTTCTCTAAATTTAACAGTTCCAATCGCTAATACAAGTGAGTTGCATATTGCTTAGTAAATTGTTTAAAAGTTAAAAACACGTATATATACTTTTTTTTTCAGAAAAAAATTTATTTAAAACAATTTTCCATCAAATTTTTTGCTTATACTTTAATAAAATTTTGTCTATTTGTTAATACCAGTGGAATATTTTTAAAGGTGTATACACACAAATACACAGTTATAAAATTAAAAATTGTTATATTAGCAATCCAATCTTATTTATTGAAAAATATTGTAAATCAATTTTCATATACTATTCTACATTATATACAATTTATTTTTATATTAAGATAAGAATAATAAGAATAATCCGTCAAATTAATAATAAAAAAATGTAATTAAATAATATGAAAAGAATATTCAGGCATTAAAAGTTATATTTCTTATAGAGAAGAAAAAAATGTATACAAGAGTCCGTACATTATATATTTACAATATTTTAAATAAATATTTCATAATTTTCTTAATAATTAAGCTTATAATCATTAATAAATGTTCAATAATTGAACCATTAAATAAAAAATTTACTTCAAATTCTTTTCCTTTTTTTTTTTTTTTTTTTTTTTTTATCAATATTATTAATATTAAATGTATGCTTGATTTCACACATGAAATTAATAAATAATAACATTTTCCCTTTATTGTTATTGCTATTGAAGCAGCCAATGTGCTACCGAAACCATCCGAAGAATTACCATCTGATAAATCATTGAAGCCCAATGAAGTCGATATCAACGAAACGCAGAATACAGAAGAGATTATGATTGAACACCTGGACGAGGCTCTAAATAGCAATAGCATTATTGATAATATTGATAATATCGTAGAGCAAGTAGAGGAAGATGCCACAAAAGATGTACCAGCTGTAGAGAAACAAACAATGCTTACGCAACATATGGCGAAACGGCTTGTATACAGTATTTCGAAAGATTTGCTACCCCAGCTTCATAAAGCAATAGCGTCGAGGACACGTTATGAAGGAAGTCACAAAGTTAATAAGAAAAGAGTCAGTAACGAACTGGAGGAGGAGGAGCTCATGAGAGTTCCAATTGCTCTTGCCATGGTTAAATTATTGCAGAAATTACCCCACGGAATACTTGAAGCGAACTTACGTGGGTAAGTACTGTGCTACAATTGCTATTTCGTGCAAAAATATTTGATAGTTTGCTATAAAAAGTAATAAAAATTAATTATAAGTAAAAAGAATGTTATTTTTTGTGAAGAAAATATAGGGATCAATAATATTGTTTTATAATTTGAAAAAAAAAAACGCCTAAAAATATCTATAAAAGAGTTGTTTTTTCATATTATAAAACAAATCTTTCAAGTGAAAATAGAATCGAAAAAGAAAATTGAAACTTGGAATGCTTAGAATAGTTTATTATATTTAGAATATTAAGAAAATTTTCTTTTTTAGAATATTCATGAAGATTTGTACATTCTTGAAATCTCGTCTTGAATCTGTGCGTCGAACAACTCGTGAAATCTTGCAAAGTATTATGATTACTTTGGGCCCAGATTACTTACATTATTTACTCAAAGAAATGAATACTTTACTAACCCGTGGCTTTCAAGTCCACGTACTTGCATTTACTATTCACGCTGTACTTATTACGTTAAAGCCATTTTTTAAACCTAAGCACATAAGTTTGAATTTAGCAAGTATTTTGAGTGTTTGCAAAATAGACTTGTTTGGTCCATCATCGGAGGAAAAAGAAGTCGCGGGCATTGTGAGAAATGTATCTGAAGCAAAGTGTACAAAAAGCTTCGAAATTTTTCACGTATTAGGAGAATTCGTTGACGAAGGTATTATTTATTTATAATATAAAAATAATTTCTTTAAAAATAATTATTGAATTTTATGATATATATATATATATATATATATATATATATATATATGTTTTTAAAGAAATTAAAATTTTTATTGTTGAATTTTAAAAAACAAAATAAATATTTGAAAAGGTAAATATTAAAAGATAGTCAGTTATCATTTATAATAACGTAAATATGATTTCTATATATTTTTTTGTTTTCATTTCCTGTGTACGTATATGTGTATATATTTTACATCCTTAAAACAAAAATATCTTTTTCTTTGCTTTATTATATAATTAATTTATTATTCATTAACTATAACTTTATGGGGTTATTTTAGCGGCTATAATCGATGTGGTGGTACCGTTGAAAGATGTTCTAATACGTACTCGTTCGCATAAATCTATAAGAAAAATTGTCGAATCTCTCCGACGATTAAGTTTGGGATTAGCGGACAATAAGTACATTGAAATAAATGAATTGTTAAATTTTTTGCACGGTGTGAGTTCCGAAAGTATTCCACAGCTCATGCCAGAAAACTTAAAAGAAAAGGAGACTGTTCAAGAGAAGACATTAAAAAATGTTATAAAGAAGCCGGATTGTTTTTTAATTCCTCCAGCGCCAAAGACCAAAATGGGTATAAAGATTTCGGCTAAGACTTCCAAAAATACCAATGCGCACATTATGATCGAATTTAGTTTAAGACTCTTTCATATCTTGTTGAAGAGAGATAAAGTCGCTAAACCCGAATTAAAACCCTTATTAGATCGTTTTGTACCAGTATTGAGCGATTGCTTAAACTCACAATATGTGAAGGTAAATTAATATTGGAATATAAAAACTAGAATTTGATATAATTAACGCTAAAATTTATATATTTTAAAATTTCATTAAATTACATTTAATTTTATGAATAATTTAGTTGAGCGCATTGGCACTACAATGTTTGAATTGGATTCTTAAAGTTGATCTTCCTCTTGTTCGCACCTGCACGGTACAAATTTCTACTTCAATATTTAATATTTTACACAAATATGCTGTTGCTGGATTGAGCAAAGGCGACAATTTCGATTTGGTGATGGCTGCATTCAAATGCATGTCCGTTCTTGTGAGAGATGTTAAGCATTTTGTTGTAAAATCGGATCAACTCAAGGTAATAATTGGAATTATTTGATAACGATACAATAAAATCATTAATTTTATTCCATATAAAGTGGATGTGTTGTTATTTTGTCACATAATAAACTTAATAATGTTTTCTGATAAAAATTTGACTGATTTCAAAATTTTTACTATATTTTGTTACTTTGTATCATTTTATGTGTCACATATATATATATATATATATATATATTGAAAGCGCTAGGCTTATATTTTATAAATAATTAATTCAACATATAATCTACAGGTATTACTAATGTATGCAGAACAGGACTTGTATGACAGCGACAAGCAAGCTACAGCTTTTGGCTTACTTAAAGCCATAATTCATCGTAAACTTTTTATATCTGAAATGCATCAAGTAATGGAAAATGTGGCAACATTGAGCATTACTTCAGAACTAGATAATGTCAGAAAACAGGCGCGTGCTGTTTTTTATTCATATTTAATGAACTATCCGTTAAATAAACGTTTGAAAAGGCATATATCATTTTACGCAACCCAACTGGGATACGAATTACAGCCTGGAAGACTAAGTGCACTGGAAATGATTTACGCAATTGTTACAAGTTTTCCATTAGTAAGTTTTTCTTTTTAAAATTAGCTATATTTCTAAAAATTTGAGTAATTTATTCGAAATGTAATTCAATTTTTATTTGCAGGAAATACTTATAGAATACTCAGGTTTCCTTTTCTTAACAGTTGGTGCTAGGCTTATTAATGACGATGATCCAATTTGTAAAAAAGTATGCGCTACATGCATCAATGAAATTATAGATCGTATTCCACATAATCCAAGAAATAAACTTTTTAATAGCATTATTTTATGGTTGAAAGATAAAAAGGTATTTGTATTTTTACTTTATAATACATATTTGTGTGCGTGTGTGCGCGCGCGCGCGTGTGTATACGTATGCATATGTATGTATAATTTGCACTTCTCAATTAATATATAAAATTTAATCATATAGATAGCACACAGACAGTTGGCGGTTCAATTGTGTGGTATTTTTGTAATGGTAGAAAAGGAGGGTTTCGAACCCCGACTTAAAGAAATCTTGCCCCTCTTAACAAAACAATTTTACAGTGATGAAAACTTTGATGATAATGATCAATGCGGTCGTTTTGTCAAAGTACATAAAGAAAAAAATCACGATATACAAAGCAAAAACATAAAAGATCCAACAAAATTGAAAGATCATCTTTTTTATCAAGTACTACAATTATTATTGAAGATTTGTACAAATTGTCATACGTTTTTAAAAAACGAACAGTATACAGAATACGTAAATACATTTGCAGGTAAATAAAATAAAAATAAGATTTTATTTACGAAAAATTAAATATAAACGAAAACCATCAAATATTTAAATATTTTACAGAATACAGTCAGTCATTATTGGCACATCCCCACTTGTGGGTACGATTAGCAGCGTCGCAGATGCTTGGTTTTGTTCTTGCTGCTCTTAATGTTGAGAAAGTCATTCATTTGATAAATAACCCAGCAGATTGTAATTTCGATGATGGATATATATACTCTAATCCAATCGAACAACTACGAAGTTTAATTCTAGATTCTATCGCACAGCTACAACCAGATACAGACTTTGAAGAACTTTATGATCAAATTATTAAAAATCTAATTTTTATATCAAAGCTTTTAACAATTACAAAAACGGATCAGGACGATTCTTCTGAACAAGACGAAAATAATAAAAATTCCATATCTCTACTTTGGCTTCTTAAGAGGTTGAGGAAATGTATAAATTATGAAATATCTCAAGCACCAAAATCCACTATTATCGTAAGCGAAGCTTGTATTTTATTTTATAATTTACTATATTATAACTATGTCTAATTTATTATACGGAAAAATATTCTTTTTTGCAGAGATCTTCAGTTTTTAAGTGGATGGCGGGTGTAATTGTAATGATGGAAATTGATTCTCTCAAGCCTATACTTTTTCAATTTATGTCTCCTTTGGTAAGAGAAATGGCCACAATCGAAGAATCCAATGCTCCTCTGCGTCAATTGGCGAAACAAGTTGCGACGATGATAAAGAAAAACATGAATATTGAAGATTACACACGTTTATTGAGTCAATCACAACAGAGAATAGATATGAAAAAAGCAGAGAGGAAGAAAACTCGTTTACAGCAGGTAGACACTATTTAAGTTTTTTATTTATATTATTAGATCAATGAACTTTGAAGTTATTTTATAATTATGTATCATTGTTATATGAAATAATATGTGTCCTTAAATGTAATATTTTTGAATTATACTTGACAATTCAATTTATTAACATGATTATAATTTTATGAAATGAAGAAAAAATTGTAAAGTTTTCAATATTTTAAAGAAAATATATTCAGATTTAGAAAATTAATTAATTGAAAGACAATAATACAATAATATACAATCATTGATTCTTCATATAAAAAAAAAATTCAATTAAAATAGTGTAGAAAAAAGGAAATGCTATTTCTATTATGACGTACTATAATCTAATGAATTATTAACAAATATTTTATTCGTTTAAGGTTGTGATTGACCCAGAGATCGCTGCTAAAAGAAAAATTTCAAAACAATTGAAGAAAAAAGTGGCTCGTAAAAGAAAAATTGAAACTTTAGCAGGTAAAAGGGGCACACGAAAGAAGGTGAAAAAAGAGGTTGATTTTGATTTGGAAGAGATGTAATATAAAAAAATCATCATTTTTGTATATACTTTAATACATTTAAAAAATATTTTGTATATATTTGTGTATCTATATATATATATATATATAGATTTTTATATATATATATATATATATATATATATATATGTTTTTTTCGAAAAAAACTAATTACATTTTCAATATTAGAAATAAATGTAAATCTATTATATAAAATTTAATTCTACAATTTTGATTTTGTTATTTATTTAATATTTCTAATAATTTCATTCTCGATCAATTTACAATAACAGGTAAGATATTCAAATTTTTGTAATAACTGATAATTCATTACATATATGGAATTTTAATTATATTTTTAAGTAATTCATATAATTGTAAATAAATATATTAAAAATGCTTTTGTATATGAATGTAAATGAAAATTACTAAAAAATCTAAATAATTTTTCTACTAAAATAACAAATTAATATTTAAAACTATTCTCGTTTTATTTTTCTTGATATTAATGTTATTATTTTATTTGTGAAAGAAAAAATATTCAAAATTTATCAAGTATTTCTTATTACATTACAATTTTCAAAACAAATGATCATTTATTGATTTTAACGTAAAAGTAATAAATGAAATATATGACGAAAAATGTTAATTTAATTCTTAAAATAAATCTTTCATTTACATTCATTGAAAATGAATTTTGAAATTGTGTATTGTTATATTGATACATAATAATACTTGAATTTTCATTGTAAAATAAATATTTCAATAAACTTATATAATAATAATTATTATTATCATATTGTTATACTATTATAAATATCTGATGTATCTAGTAACAAATTAAAGAAGTTTTTAACAATTATTAATTTGTATGTTCAATTTAATGCACATTTTATGCAGCCCTCCTACGGCATATAGTTTAAAAATATATTTATAAAATATAAATAAAATTTATTACAATTTCTAATCATACATTATTAATACAATAAAATCAGTTATCTATAATATATATGTATATGTGTATATATAAGGTTAATCAATTTTGTATATATTATTTTATATAATTTTATATATATTATATATTTATGATATAAAAGTGTGAAAAAATTTATGATATATTTAAATTATGATTGTTCATGTTTGTAAATAATACTTTCAGATATATTAAAAAAGAAGTTTTTATTTATGGCGAGTAGTGGTATAAGTAAGTGCATATAAGAAATAAGAAATTATTCTGATTGCAACTATGATAGAAACAGTAGATTACAATGATTAGATATTTATTTCAAAGGCAAGTTTACATATGTAAACTAATTATAACTAGAAAATTTAATATGATTTGTAATTTTTCAGTTTCTTAGTAAAAATTTATTCTATTAAACTATATTATATTTACATTTATATTTTATTATAATTTTATCATTTTGTCATTTTCATACAATACGAAGCATAATTTTTACTTTAAATTCCAATATTAAAATAATCATTGGATTAATGCTCAAATATCAAAGCTATTTCACATTATGTAGCATTTAATATTGGATCCTTAAAAAAAACTTAGAATGATAGTCACCGACTGAGGCATACTATTGCTCTATTATATATGGATAATATTATTAATTTATTCAATAATAATTTTGAAATAACACTATTTTTAGAAAAATACGAAATGAAAATTTTATTAATATTATTTCACGAACATATTGAAAATCGCTTATTTTTTTTATCTTCAAAGTCATGTCTCTTCTACTTTATTTTATCAAATTAGAAGACAGACAAACTTTATTTGCGCCCAATTTTATCTAAAATTCTAGCCTAATAGAATTGTGCGATACTTGTGTTCAATACAATAGATCAAATGATCTATTAACATATAAAATGAAAACATTTTTTATAATAGATTCCAGAATAACATTTTCCTTTTTTTAAAGCTGTGTCAATAAGAAATTATGCAATTTTTCGCGTATTATAAAAAATAAAGTTTAATAATTGTAAACCAGAGTAATATAATAAATTTTATTTATATAATACTCAAGACTTAATATATTTGCATAAATGTGTAAGGACAAAATTTAATTTTAAATTAAAAATATACATCTACTAATATCTGGAATAGCCTATTATGAACAGTTACTATGATTAAATAATCATATATCTTAATTATTGTTAATAAATTGTACCATATTGCATAAAGCTTCTACATTGTTAATTATTTTCCAGCTTATATTTTAGAGAAGTTAGGAAATAATTGTATAATATATTAATTTTATTGGTAACTAATTACTCAGATGATTAAAATATGTTAATCTTAGAAAGTAGCAGACTCTAAATTTATAAGGTTTTATACTTTAAATATTATTGTTTTATTTTCAGATTTTAATATTACAAAATATTATAATACTTAATTTTCAACAATTAAATTTAAATATTCTCAATACTATAAACTGATAGCTGTGAAATAATAATTTTAAAATATTTTGATAGTTTTATTCTTTTAATTTCTTGTAAAAGAATTATTTATTAATATTTTCGTATAAATATTCCAAATTTACTTGTGCTAATAATTAAATATTTTTATTAATTTTTATAGAAATGTCTATAAGAAAATTACTGGAATAATTGGTTATTAATTGACAATATTATTTACTGTAATAATAAATTATTCACTCTAATTATTATTTAAAAATAAATATTTTGATTATAAAGTGAACAACTGAAAAAATCTTTAATATTAAAATCTATTCTCTGTTCAAATAAATTAGACACCACAATATAAACAATTATTTTAAATACTTATTTTCATTTTCAATTTTATATAAGACTTATATATGAAATAATTATATTAAAATTAACTGAGTTAGTAACATCCTTGATTTAAAATTCTGATAGTGTAAACGTGTATAATTATAATTACTATGAAAAAATAGTATTAATAATAAATTAGGTTACAATGTTATTTTATTAAAAAAAAAAAAAAAAAAAATTGTATTGAACTATTCAAATAAACTTTTCCTAAAAAATGAACCGTACCAAATGAAATTACTCTATTCCCATTTAATATTTTAAAAACAATTTTAGAAAGTAATAATTATAATTTTTAAACTTTTACAATAGGAAAATAAAGTTATAATGTTTAACTTTATGGGATTAAAAGAAAAACATAATTGGTTTCCACTGATTTAACATTCAATTTAGTGAATATCTAATTTAAATATGAATTCATTGATTTAATCGAACTATTTATACTATACATTTTTTTATAAAATGAACATTACTTGAAAGACAAATTATTATCGATTGATATTATGAATTTTAAAAATAAATAAAAGTTTGTCGAGTACAATTAATATTGATGATATAAAATTAAGTATATTTTTAATTTTTCTTGTAATAATTATTTATAATTAAATCTTATACAATTAGTGAATTTGCAGTATATTATAGGTATAAATAGTGCTTAAAGTTGAAAATATTAAAAGGTTTTGTTGTATAAATTGGTTTCTCATATATATATATATAATAAAAAAATAAAAAAAAAAAAAAAAATCATACAGACTGTGATGCTATAATAGAATTTAAAAAAATTCTTACTATTTCTTAAAAGTAATTTAAAAATGCGCGCTATATAAATTACAGGAATTTATTGGTATATTTAAATTTAATACGAAGCACTTTTATTTGCATAGTTGATTTTCCGTCGTCATAAAAATTCGTATTTAATCAATCAAAGTCTTTTCATAAAAAATGTTTAGCATCTTTTAAAATATTTATCTAAAAAATGACAATGATTTTCTTAAAAATCAATACTTCACAAAAAGTAATCAGCTTGGGGTTTTTTGCTTGGTGTCCCTCTACTTTCTTGTGGTGCTGCTTCAAATATCGTGAAATCCCTTTGTAAGTGTTCGTTTAATTCCAATATAGCAGCTACGTTACCACATCTATACACAAAATATAATTATATTCAGTAAATTACCAAATTAAAGTTTTTTATAAAATGAAATTTTCAAATAACTACTGTCTACAAATATTTATTTTATATTTACTTATATGCATATAGTTTCAAGTTTTGTATTTAAATATAACTTCTCAATTTTTTGAAAAACTATATTTTAATAATTAACGTTATCAAAAGAAAACTATTAATACGTTTATGTATAATATAATTTTTTCCAAGTTTTATCAATACTATGTACCTATAACAGTAGTTTGGAGCTGACCATACTGTAAGTACAGTTTCATTAAAGTGCCACTTATAACCTTCCATAACTAATTGATGAGCTCTACAAATCATATCTATATCATTAGCAGAATTGAACTGTGCTACCACATCACTACCAAAAAGATATCCAGCTCCACGAGGTGAAACTCCCCAGCCCTGTGTCTCTTCTGGATCAGACCATAAAAGATCGCACATAGGACCGTCGTGTGGAACCTGAGGTTTATTTAAAAAAAAAAAGAATGAATGCTCTCTGAAGGAAGAATGTACATTTATATTTTATTTCAACATATTATCAATTCTAATCATTTTAATAAACTGTATATTCCATAATTTGAATTTCACTTACTTCTTGTTTTCTATCTATGATGCGAATCTGGTCGAGTGTTTGTATGCTAGGCGAAAGACCTCCATGAACACAAAATATTTTGCCATCAATAATTGCAGAAAGTGAAAGATAATCAAAAATTTCTGTACAATGACGCCATACTGTATTACTGCCATATTTTCTAAGACATTCGTCATAAAAACCGTATACTTGGGTAATTTGTCTTGATTCGTGATTACCTCTTATTAATGTAATTCTATCTGGATAACGAACCTAAAAGATTCACAATAATAAATAAGTGACTTATTATGAAATATTATTTTGTAATTGAGAATAAGTTACTTTAAGAGCTAGTAAAAGAAGAAATGTTTCAACGCTAAAAAATCCTCTATCTACAAAATCTCCCATAAACAAATAATTTGTTTCAGGAACGTCACCACCAACTTTGAATAACTCTTTAAGATCATAAAACTGTCCATGAATATCTCCACATACCTATAAGAAAATCATCGATGTAAAATTTTAAATAAAAATATTTCAGATATTTTATATTACTTACGGTAACTGGTGAGTCTACTCGTTGTACATTGCTTTCTTCGATGAGAATTTCACGTGCTTTAGCACATAACGCTTTAACTTCAGCTTCAGTAATAATTTCACATTTCTTTAATTGCTCAATTTGCCGATCCAAATTACTAGACTCGGCCATCGCACTATTGTGAATAATATTGTAATAAAAATTTACTGAAAACAATGTTCAAAATAATTATAAAAATGAATAATTTGAAATATCAATATTAATAAATAGTTTATAATAGATAGGGTTTAAAATATTTTATTAGATTATGTATAAAATTGTAAATATTTAGAATTGACGAAAACGACTAGACTCTTAATTATTAGAATATTAGTTTTATTCTTTAATCATTAAATAATGTTATAGACACGCTTAGTATAACATATATATTATACTGTAAATGAAATATAATATATTTAAATAGATCATTATTAACTGATGAAAAACTAAATGATAAGATTTTTTAGTATATTATTCGAGCAATAACATGGAGGTTAATAACAGATATACTTAAAATACCGAATATCTCTATGACATAGATCTTAAATAATATGACAGTATTCAATAATCCAAGTATTATTAGTCAAACGTAGTCATAAAAAAATGATATTTAAAATAATTTATATTGTATTTATAAAACTTTAGCGTAGATGCACAATTTTATGAATGAAAAATAATGCATGAATTGTATTAACAAATATATTTCAAGACTACATACAAAGATCTATAAGTAAAATTGATTTCAAATATTCTCATTTACAATTAAATACATAATTTCATACTTATAATATAAGTATTCACAATAGTTACCCTTACAATATTATTAAGACTTATTAGAACAATAATCGATTTTAGTACTGCGAAACAATTTAGTAATGCTAAATAAATATAATTTTGATATAATAATATCAAACAATTTTACATTTATATGAATATTTGAACTTAAATCTGAAAATGATCATACTATCTATATAAAAATATTAAAATTATAAATATAATCTTGAGGAAAAAGTTTATAACAAGAATAAGTCACTTACTTAAATAAACTAAAATATAATTAATATTAGAAAAACGGATAAGTTAAAACAAACTGTTATTTCATAATAATGAACAAGAAATATTAATTAAGTATTAAATTAAAAGAGTATTTTTATAATTGTTTCTCTATTATAGTATGAAAAGCAAATGATACTTTGTAAACAAACATAAAAAGTTAATAAGATTTTAAAACTTGAACATTTGATTTGATAAATTCTCAAATCATAAACAATAAATGTTAAACAAGTAAAAAAGTAGTTTCAATACATAATGCAATAATATTCATAAAAACATTCAATAAAATGAATTCAATAAATTCAATGAATATTAAATATAAAATTTTGCCAAAGCACGTACTTTGCAAACCAAGTTGGAATCATTTAAAAGATTTTTATGTTCCGAAAGTAAACACTTCTATTTCTCTTACATACCCAGACGTGGAAAAGAAAATCCTCTGAGAAAGTGAAAGCCGGTAATCGTTCTTCAACAGCTTCAGAAGAATAATTTGTTCATTGGTCCAACTATTATTTCTGGAATTCTCATTCGTTGTAGTTTAATTCATAAAATATCTTCTTTAATCTTGATAACGAAGTGAAAAGAACTATTTAGAAAATATTTTTGCGCAAATATGTTTAAGAAAAATATAGACAAATAACAATGGTAAAGTGCTCAAAAAACTAACATTTTAACGGGTTGTTCAAGATTTTATACTTTTTTTAACGTTATGACGTAAATTGACTGTAATTTAACGTCAAAATTTTTGTCGAAATAGTACCGACATAAAAATACAGTAGCGCCGCATATAAAGTAGTATAAGTAACTAGATTATTAATTATGACAAATGAAAATAGAGAAAATAATTTATAACTATTTTATAATTTCTCAGCAACTACTATCTGGCAATTTACCTTAATTAGAAATATTAATTAAGTCAAAGAGTAAAGATTAATTTTTTCTATCAATATTGTTAAGTTTCAGTTAAACAATATCTTTAAATGCGCGCATACACGCGCAAACGTACACGCACGCAACGCATATACGAACATATTACTCATTAATAAATTTATTATTTTGAAGAATATTATAAGTTTAAATAAATAATTCATTATTTTCTCAAATTTATGGGAAAATACTAATTCATACGCATGCGTTTGATACTTGGAAATTTGAACATTTAACAAATAAACAAATACGAACTTTAAAATATACCCACTCTCGGTTAATGCTTATATATCATTAGTTTCAATATATTTATTTTATTCCATTTCTATTCTAAATTCGTTCTGAAATAAAGATATTTAATAATGATTTTTAAGGACTAATCAAAGTTTTAAAATATATTTGATTTTCTTTATAATATAATTACTATAATTGCAAGTATTATTTAAATACATTTGCTTTAGAACTTTTTCCTCATATTAATAGAGATAAATTTAGTATTATTTTTAACGATAATATAATATTCAATTTAAATATTTGTGGTTTTTGATTATTAATATTTTATTATTAAACGTTATAAGTCTTTATTTCGGTTGTAAAACTAAGATTCAAATACATTTCTATGTAGATGAACAAACGTGCATAAAGCATAAATTTTATTGATATATTTTATTTTTACATTTTCCTACAATGATAAAATTAAAGTATCATAATTTAAATGAATTTATAAGTACAGTATTTTTATGATATTCTTTAATAATTTATTTTAAATGTATATATGTATGCATATATATATATATATATATATAGATAAATTGTAAATACTTTTTAAAATGATTTATTCTCTCTATGCAAATATCGATTACTCGAATTCAAATATATTTTTTATATATAAGAATTATAAGTACTTCGTGATGAATGTCACAATGACGTCATTAATAATATGAATACATTGCAAGTGATATTTGGTTAGTTAGTAGTGAGGACTTTTATCGAATATTTATTATAAATATTATGGAATGGAAATAAAATACTAATAGCGTTTTAACGAAAACATGCGACAATTTACTAATTTTTAATTTTTAATCCATTACAAATTGTCATGGACGAAGAAACATTGAATAGGTAATGAATTTAGTCACATACAATATAGAATTTATTTTTATTTTTAATTATTTTTATATTTTAAGACAAAACATAGTTTTTTTTTTTTCATTAACCTCTATTAATAAGTTTTAATTATTTACATTTAATAGATTCGAATATAATCTAACATAATATAATAAATAATAAATTATCTTTGTATCAAATTAAATGTTATAGAATTTTTAACAATTTTATCAATATATATCCAGGTATGTTAAACTTTGAACAGAGAAATTGTCAAAAATTGATTATCCATATATTTCCTTCAAAACTTTTGCATTATTTTTTTTATATAATATTCTATACGAACATTTTTAATTAAATATTATTGCAAACTGTTAATTGAAAAAAGGCAGTAATTCTTGTACAAATTAGATGATGTTATGAATATATTTATAATTTGTAGGTTAGCAGCAGAGGCTTTACTTCAGGAAGCCAAGATTGGAGCAAGAAGAGCAGCTATAATTGGTCCAAGTGGGTGGATTAGAAAGAGAGAGACGATAAATAAACAGTTTCTTCATGCAACATTAAAAAATGTAATTTCATCCAACAGACACAAAACATTTAGTAATAAAAGTAAACAGAATAATACTTCCAGTAAATCATTAGAGAACAATGATAAGCATTGACAATTTTATAATTTATTTTAATTATAGAAATCAGTTTCAATATATTATTCATAATGAAGAATAAACGATTGAAAGTACAAATCTTTATTTTATAAATAAAAATTATACTTTTTTACATTTTTTTAGTCATAATTGTTAAAATAATATATATTGTACATTTAATTATTGTAATAAGAGTTTATTGATGATAAAAAATGATTCTATAAGTGATATTTATGAAATTATAATGTTTTTATTTAGAAATAATTTTGAAAGAAAACTCGAAACTCATAGGGTGTTACAATGTAATATAATAAATTTTTAAAATCATTTTTAATTTTTGTTCTTAATAATAATTATAGGTTGAATACAAAAGCACAATTTATAATAATATTATAGCTAATTATCAGTTCATTAAATTATTATTTTAAATTAATTTATCAATGAAATAATTATGTATAATTAAAAATAAGAAACTGCATTTGCAAATATTAATGTAAATAAATTCATAGTAATTGTACTTGGAATGCTATTAAGGTAAGGGACATTGGTATAATTATTAATTAATTATATACAAATATGGCTGTATATAATTATTTGTTTTATTAAATAATACTTTGTATTGGTTTTTATATTTCATTATAAATCATTAATCGAGTATAAAATTTTTTATACATAATACTTAAGTAATTTATTCTTTCATAGAAATTTCCACTAATTTATTTCATTTTATTTATTTTTTTTTTTTTTTAAATTTTTTCTTTAACATAATTATCAGAATTACATTATCATAATTTTATTTTAATATTTATTTATTTTAATAATTTTTAAAATAATAAAATTTTGTATATGTATGTATAAAAATTACAATAATATATCAAATATTTTTGGTGTGGAAAGTACATTGTTTTATGTGTGTAAATAAATCAAGTTCAGATAAATTACCGAAATCCATTTGCTTGACTTTGTAATTTCTTCTTTTCTAAAAATAAATCTTTCATATCCACTAGTGCTCTTTTAATCTGATTGGCGAATCTCTTTGAATTCTGTACATAAAATTTATATTTATAAAAAATTACTATATTTGGTAAGGTGGCTCGGTAATCTTGTTAGCGCGAGGCCAGCGGGAAGCCTACGGAATTTAGCTGAAAAATCTAGGGATATGTGAGTTGATGTTGCAGTAATCGAGAAAGGTCATGTTTGAAAATGAAAAAGAGACGCATAATCCGAGATACATATCATAGTATGATGTAACGATAGCAAAATGAAAGAATCGGGTGTGAGGTGTAGGAGAGTAAATAGAACGATAAAATAAAAAAAGGAAGGAGAGAAGGAGAGGAGAGATAATGAAACAAGTGTTGTGATTTGTGAGCTTTCGTGTGCTTTCGAATGATATTGGCATCATGCATACCTTGCGAACGATTCATCGTCTATTGTAATCCGTTTGACGGCCGGGACTGTTCCATTGGTTGAATTTACCTTATTTACTATTTTACCACTAACATCTTAATCGAAAGGGATCGGCTTGCAACCCAAGCGGTTAGCAAAAGGGCGAACTAGGAAATGCAAACTGGGAATTATAGGAGACGAGATACGCGTTTGCAGATGAATTCGATAACTAAATGAAACGAGGGATATCGCAAATACCTCGAAGAAAGTTCCGATGTAGTTTATGTAAAAAAATAATAATTTTAAAAATAAAGATAATATACCGTTTCTGGAGAGCTATATTTGCTTGAAATATGAAAGAAAATCATATTTTCTCCAGTGATTATATATGAAACACCATAACCGTCCTCGACTACTGAAGCAAATCCACCGCCTGCTGATACGCAATTAGGAAATTTTTTAAGATTTAATTTTGAAGTTTGTCCATGTGGAGTTTGGGAAGTGGATAATTTCCATGTCTCGTTCATTACTTCCTGTCATTATATCATTTAATTGCAAACTATTAGATTCTATGGAGGTATTGACTTATTTGTGATATTTTCAAAAACTTCTAAATACACTTTCCAATGCTCTTATATTATAACATTATAATTCAATTACGTAGAACTATACCTTCAAAAATGGGGACTCGACTTTTAAATATTTCGAAACAATGTAAAGACAAAATAGATGCCTGTCAATTCCTTTTCCACACATTGCATCTAAATAATTTTTTTGATGCTGCGCTGTTGCATCTAGCAGAAGTTTGTACCTTAAGTCTACCTAAAAATTATCGTCACATATATTACAACTAATCAAACATATATATATATATATATATATATATATATAGATAAATAGATTGATACATGTACGTATATTAAGATATTAAGATAAACTTATTTTGCTATCAATACTACCGTGGAGGACTTCAGTTCCATTGCTTTGACCCAGGCAACGGATTCGATCGTGCAAGACCTTACGGTTTCCGTTCTCCCTTCGCGAAATAATCTCATCGAGGCTGCCTCATATGTAAGACTGAATTTGTTCGTGTCGCGGTAATATGCTAGTTGAAGTGCCATTTGTATGTAAGAATCAGGCGAGATAGAGCACTTTTTCATGAACCCTTTGCCATACATATCATGTACATATATGTGCATATCTACGTTCTTTAACAGTTCTTCGGCAACCTGAACAAATTTTTTTATTATTATTACATTGTTAATAATTGATTAAGTATTTTATAATTAGCGGAACTTTAAATAAAGCTCCTAACTTTTTTGTAAATTTTATTTGAAAAAATCACATGTTATTAAGTATTAAGTAGTCAATTTAATTGTGAATTCAAACTCTGTAGATCGATGAACGAATTAAATTTAAAATCCAAGAAATATCGATAATAATAATAAACCTACATAATCCATAACATAGGATGATATCCTAATTTGTCAACTTTACTAAATAAAGAAGATTATTCACTTTCGTAAAAACTAGACTTTCATTTATCTTATCTGTCCTTAAATGTATGTTAATATTATTAATTTAAAAAACATATTTACTCTCATTAATTTTATTTGCCTTTTGTATAATCAATAAATATAATGTTATACAAGGTTTTAATGGTTTCTTAAATACATAACGAAACAATACAATACAAATATGAATAAAAATAATTTTTTTTATACCTAAAATTACATATAATATAAAATAAGGAAATTATATAATTAAGGAATTACTTATTTATACTTATTTATCCTGGGATATAGAATAATACAAGTATTTTTTTTCTAATTATAGAATTAATTAATTATCGAAATTTTTAAATAATAATGCTTTTTTTTTTAATAGATAAAGCAATTATAAAAGCAATGTATTTCATTGATCAATGAGCAAAAGGAGATAATAATGAAATTAATATTCAATTATCGATAATTAATGTTTCGAGTATTTTTTAAAAGTACCAAAAACATTCCCACTGAAAACGTTTACAAGATAATAAATAAGCTAATCTATAAGTATTATATCTTATCTATATCTTATATCTAAATCTATCGTAAATATTTTTAATATTATTTAGTAATAGTGTAAGACTTTAAGATTATTTGAAGTTCGAATGAGAAACTGTTAATTAACTTTAAGTGGTTAAGGAAACATGAAAGTCCAAAAAAGTGCCATTTAAATTTTTACAAAGTACATAATTGTATTTATTTTTATAACGCCTAGTTTTTGAGAACATTTTCTTCTATGATTTTATTCATTACATGATCATACTGTGAACTTTTGATTTTTATAGTCACTTTTGAACTATTAATTTTTTGTTGCCATGGAAATATTTGTTTCATTTATATTATATTGTTACATACGCATCACACGTATTTATTTCAATTTTCATCATATATATTTGAGCATTTGATTCATAACTTTTTTTTTTATATAGTATAATAGAAAATAATCAATAATGCTTCCGATCTTTTTTTTTAATTATAAATACAAAAATAGTACTCTTATGACAGTTAAATTAGTAACCGTTGTATGTTAAATACTATGTAACATTTGAAAATAATATTACTTTGACTTATAATACACAGTTCATCATTATTAGAAATATATAATAAAACAATCAAAATACTTCTGTTATAAAATCTCACAAATATTAGGATAAATTATAAAAAAATTATTTTGTCTAATATTTTGATAATTTATTAAAAAAATAATTGATTTTGTTTTAATTTTTCGTTATAAATATATTGAATCTATAAGAAATTAGTCTGTCTTAAAAATTAGTTAATCTTTTTATCTTGTCCAAGAATATAATGTATCAGTTAACGACTTTACCAAGTAAGAAGTTTCAATATCCTTATGACAATCTGGACCAAAATCCCATTGCAATCGAATTGGTGATGGGGGTGTGAATTCAGGAGTTCCCATAGTGTGTCCATCTTCTTTATATCTAAATTAAAGAAATATTTTTACTTATAATAATTGTATCGCAATAAAGTAAAAGAATTAATTACTTAAGATTATACATAGAAAATTTACAAACTTTCCAAAATATATGAGACGAGTGATTAAATATTCGTATAAAGATTTTCGTATAAAAAATAAGCTAATGTACAAAATAAATGGAAAATGACATTGAAAATAATGATACGTGAAAATAGTACATTAAACATATACAATTAATTTTAGTATTCTTACCGAATTTCTGTGTTAATACCAATAGTAAATTCCCAAAGTGTCCCCATAATAGGAGAATCTGCCCTAAAGCATAGATAAAATAAGATTAAAATAATATTTGTTAAAGATAATAAGGAAATAGATATTTGCATTATTGATAATTTCATAAATTAACTCTACGTTCGACCAAAATGAATTTTTTTAATTTATAAATAATTAAACACGAGTAATTGGCAATCCTTTTTATTCTTACTAAATTTATTAAGAAAGATTCATGATTATATAAATTAGTTTAATTAATATTTATTGTAAAAATTATTCATATTTTATTAAATAACTTTATACTTTTTAAACTGTAAGGACGGAACAGTTATAAAATTAATTGAAATTTACATGCTTATATATAATAGAGATAATATTTTAATACAAAAATTTAATATTTACATACTCACTGTTATATGAAAATAATACATTTAGAATATGAATTCACAAAACTCTAAATATTAATAAAAAATATAACAAAACTATTTTGAATAAATAAATGGCCTTTTAAAATTTTAGTATATTTATTTGAGTGTTTAATTTCAAATTATTTGAAATTGATTGTCATAAGATGTTAACATTTTTTAAATTGTATATTATTTTACCCTCTAACTGCATCGTATAATTTTACTTAAACTCACCATGCATGTTCTGCATTAAAACCAATCTGCGAAACGAAAAACAAAGATAAAATCAGCATATTCACAAGAGGTCATTTGTAGAATAATTTAAACATACTTTGCCGTTTCTTCCGATGCATAAAGTGAAGGACTTATCGAACCAACGATCGTAACCCTTGCCATGCAACAAAATACGGCTATAATTATCAAGTTTTTCGGCGTGAAGCTACAAAGAAAATGTTTGATTCACAAGCTTATAAAATGTAAATATTTTCAGAAAGGATTTGAAAACAATTTAAAGTATTGGTTGAAAAATATAGAATTATAACTTCTCTAGATTCATTCATTATCACTTGATATTATTTTGAATTCCAAAACAATTCAGATTCGCAACTTCAGGCAATTCACTATAAATTGCATAATTTTGTAAAAATCTTACTGCACAATATTCATAGGACACATCATCCAGAGCAACAAAGAATGCAGATTGATCAATGGCGTCTAAAGATGTTCTGTTAACGCCATTACTAAAGTAAGCCTTTCGCACTTTTGCCCAATGACTTCTCTCCCCAGCTGTTAATGCTGCTAATTTCTCTTCACCCTGGCAAGGTTTACTCGTATCTTTAAGAATTGATTGGATTTGCCTATAAATCATTAGTTAATTAATTACATATACAGTCGATTGGTAATTGATTAACATAAATTGCAAATTTTTTTTAACTTAGCTTAATTTTATTATTGATATTTGGATTGGCTTTTTAGTTTACAAAAGAAAAATATACTTTTAAATACGATGATAAATATTAAAATCTTCTTTATTAATATAAGCTAACATAATCTTTTCATTTGTTTATTTTCACAGTTGGTGCACCGTTCTACCGATTGTTTCAGAGTATCATTTATACTTATTAATAATGAAATGTATGAGTTTGGTGCAAGTTAGATAATAGTAGGATTTTAAACTTATATAATATATATATATATATATATATATATATATATATATATATATATATATATATATATATTGAAATAACTCTAATTTTTTTTACGAAGCATTAATATTGGTAGAGCTCAATATGATATAGATTTCAAATATTCGAAATACGCATTTGTACAAAAATGCAATAGGGAATTATATGAAAATAGCAAAAATCTAATATTAAAATATGTAAACACACAACATTATTTTCAATCATTTTTCAATTGATAAACTTACAATTCAATTTCACAAGGCAGCAAAAGCCTGTTCTTAAAATAAATTTGAAGTTTAAAATATTTTCCTTTATGATAAACAACGATGTATTTCGAATCTTCAAAGTGAACAATTCGGTCAATTTCTATCCCAGGTATTCTCGTTGTATTGAAAACTCTTTTATACTGCCACGAGCAAAGTGGAACTACATCCCGAACAACAATCTACAATTATACAAAAAATAACTATTTCCATCGACGAATCTCATTTCAATTTTAGCGTCATATTTATAATAAGTTGAGGCATGCCCATATTAAAATCTAATTCTAAAGTTGTTTTCAATTTATTTGAAAATTGCAAAGATTAATACGTTTCGTGGATATCAAGCATATCATTATAAAAAATTATAATTTTAATGCTTATTGTACAAACCGGTTCTATCTCTTGTCTTTCAATTAAGCGTCGATACAGAAGGCAAGAATAAATGGCAGTGGCAGCTCGTGCCGATTGCACCTTCGTTTGGTGCATATGAATGACGTCTATGCCGTAATAATTGGAATTGACCATTATGGGCGAGCGGTTACGTAGGTAAACAAACTCCTCCCACCAATCGGACACGTAGTTGCACGACCACCAGGATTTGAGAATCAGGTATCGCTGCAGTTTGATCCCGACACCGCACCGAAATTCATTTGCGAGTCTTTCGATACGCTTGTAATTGTCTTTATGTAGAAGAGGCTGCACGCTCCTCAGATACTGAAATAAACAATAACATTTTTTTTTTAATCTATTTAGCGAACTTACAAATTTGTTTTTCCAACTATTAACGGAAGACTGTTGAGAAAAATATTAAGAAGAATAATAATTCACCGTGTGCGTAGTGTGTTCGATACTGGGTAAAGGAAGCGTAGGAAGTGAGCCTTGAAAGCTGTACAACATCGGTTTTCGCCATTTTGAAAACAGCTTTGTTACATTCATCCAAACTTTCGTGGCAAATGAAAAGCTTTTACCTACCCCTCGTGCTTCATACATCCATCCTTTGTACATAAATAATAATTTTAACACATAGCGAATTGTATATATTGTGACTAGCCAAAGGAATAAACTAATTATAAAACATCCTATAAGATCGTTTAAATGAGAAGATCTGGAAAAGATGATATTTTACAATATATGAATGAGAATTTTATAATATTACTTCTTTAAAAGAATCTCGTATCACATATACGAATATGAGAAGAGACTACTCATAGACAATGTCTAGTAGTATTAAAAAAATTAAAAAAAGAATATTATTATGTATATTAATTTGTGGATAAGAATTTTTTCCTTCATATCTTTTCTCTCTTAGTCAATTTAATCTAATTTGTTGCTTCATCAAAATTGAATATTTTTAATAAAAACCTTAAAAAGACGTATATAATTAACTGTTACGTACACACTTCACAAATATAAACTGATACTGTTACAAATTAATTGTAATAATAAAAACGTAAATAACAAATTATTTATAATATAAATTTAATTAAATTAAGTACTAAAATATTTAATAAAAATTACAAAATATATATAAAAATAAAAATAAAAAAAAAACATTAACTTAATACAAATACCAATTATTTATATTTAATTGAAGAATTTCTTTTCTGATACTTACGAAAATAAGTACGGTAATATTTTTTCAACAAGATTATAAGATACTTTCCTCAATGTTAAGTGAATTGTAGTAAATATTAAAATTGTTTGTAACAAACTTTCTACAGAAGCTGGATAAATTCGATTTATAATTTTATTCTGAAAATAAATCATATTTTACAATAGAGTTTTGTTTCTAGCACATGTAAGCTAAATTTCAATTTATTATAATAACTTTAAATGCTTATTAATTACAAATGGAATACAATAATTAGGCTTATATTTATGCAATTTAATATTATTTTATAAATTCATTTTAGAAATTTTATTAATTTAATCAAAATATAATGTTTCAATTAAATAGATATAAAAAAATATTTGTATAAGATCAGATAAGTTTGATAGCTTTTTAAGTATTTACAATTTTTAATTAATACAATAAGGAATAATTATAATGAATAATTAAGAAATTCTATAGATACATATTCGTACATAATAATTTTAATAGATTAACAATATTATAATATGAATTGTAATATTCTAATATATAATAACAGTGAAAAAAGTTTTATAAATTATTAGATCTGTTAGTAATAATATTCAATAAAGAATTTTAATATTTTGAATTTCTTAAACTGTATTTCTTAATTGTGCGTTTATACAAATACAAACATTAAATTAATATTGATTTTCATATTATTAGTACTCATATTACTTAGCATATAATTCATCGATCTTGCATAATATTTATTACTAACATAAATGATAGAGCATTTTTTCTTCCAAGAGCGAATTACTGATTGCCAAATGATATTGAATACTTCGCGATTAAATTTTATGTTCCATCCTTCCTGGGTAATTGAGAAAGTGAATATAACACCCATGCGAGGTTCATCCATTTTATACTTTATTCCACTGCAAAAAATGACTTCGACTCATGCGATCCTTAAATGTGAAAGTGATCTTTTCTTATTTTTTTTTTTTTATTATTGTTTTTGTTACTATTTTTAATCGTAATTATTACAATAACATAATATTCTAATTGCTTTTATAATAGGAGAATTTGAGAGTCAAGTTCAACATATAATGTAACTCTGACTGGAATTATAAATTCTTCGTATTAATTAAATAATTAGATGAATTTTGTGAGTTATATGATAATGCAAATGATAAAGTGTAATTTTTTCGATTGAGATTTTTACAAACTTCTCTAATTTGATTTGAGCTAATTTGATGATTTATTAAATTTTAATATACACGTGGTATTATATTAATGAATAAAATACAAAACATCGAAATAATGGAATTTATATTTCCTGTATATTTCGAAAGTAAATGTACGCTTGTATAATGAGCATAAGCTACGTGTTTTATACAGTAAATAAATAACGGTAGTGATAAAACATTTTATACATAAAACTTTTCTAAATCAATTTAACTACTGTAATAATATTAATACAAAAAAGTTAGGAAAATGATCCGACAAAAGAGAAATGATAGAAGTAAAAAATCTTTTAAAAAAATCAATGACTGACTTATTATAAAGTGCAAATGATTTTCTGATAAATAATAAGAAATAAATGTTTATATAAATTATATACAAGATTATAAAGTTAATTAAACATGGAAAAAAAACATATTTCCCTGAGCTTATAACGAACTATGTTTATGATAATAATTCTTTACTTGTACAGCACAATTGAACGCAAAAAACCGATATATAACTTTTTATATTAATTAATCCGTACACATTTATAAATAAGCAAGGAAAGATAATTGTAAAGAATATAAATAATTCCTAATTACTTAATTATGTAATTTCATCGATTTCACTTTTTCACTTCAAAGCTCTTCATTTAAAGAAAAAAATAAATATCTTTCACAATTTAATGATGATTTATTATTAAAGTTGATATGACAAACATCACAAATAAACATTTATAATTTAAAAACGATTGATTTTAGTTTCAACATTTTAAATAATATTTCATTTATATTTAATGCATAGTATAATTTTTTATAAGATTTGTTTATATAGAGCAAAAATAATTACTGAATTCATTTAAGAATATAGTTCGTAATAACAATATCATTCTAATAATCTCAAAAATCAGAATTAGAAGAAAATTATTCTTATTTCACTTTTTTTTGATAAAATATAATATTTGAGATTTATTAACACAAAAAATTCATAATTTTAGTAATAATGATATTTTGATAAAAAATCATTATATCATATATAATGTCTGCATTGTCTATTATGCAGTATTTTTATTTTTTTTATAGAAATTCTGAATAAAGTGAAATTTTTAATAACAATAGAGTAGTTTATTTTCAATTAGAAAAAAAATATATATAAAATATATTTTAAAATATCGTTTTCTTAAACTTGAAGAATATTATAAATTAATATAAAACTTATTCATGCAATTCTTTTATTTTATTATTATAAATTATGTAAATTATTTGAAAAATCACGATACTGAAAATATATTATTACATATACATTATTATGATATATAAATGATTTATAATTCCATATAAAATGATATTTCTTATTAATAAATTCTAATATTATGCGATATTGAGTTCCACAAATACTAATTTTAATTATTTTTCGAATGTTATTAGTTTTATTTTATTTATTCTTATATTATTAAAAACATAAGTATAATATTTATTATGCCTATAATATGTTATTGTATAATATGAATTAAAATATATAATAGAATCTCTTACCTAGCTGCTGTAAAGCCAAAAAAAGAATGAAAGAATAATATATTTTCGGGTGCTTTCGATTTTCATCACTTTCTTCCTTTGTTCCTCTTCGACAACTTTTTTTTTACAAATTTTTTAATCAGATATGCCACTCGCAAATTTTAGCTTTAGCTTTTTTGGTAAACTCTGATTAACGAGACAAATTTTATATCTTTATAGTATTTATAAAAAGATATACACCGTTCGTGTAAATGGTAATAAAAGATATCGTAAGCAGCTGTAAATCATAAATTAAAAATAAATATCCTTGCATTTTCTCTGTTGTTAAATATTCGTTAAACATTAATATTGAAATGTGAATAGAAATTTGATAGTTATTTTTATATAATTTCGAGTTCTCGAACTCACAATGTACCATTAAATTTTAATTTTTAAAAGTGCAATTCGTATACCGGGTTACTACATTTCCTTTTTCTGATTATTAATTTTTTTAAAATATCACTATTTAGAAATATATATAAACAATATTTTAATAGAAAAATGAATTCAAATGTATTTCTTTTGAAAAGTATTTATATTGAGATTATTATTTTTTATTTTATAATTTTATAAATTTCACAACTTATTAATCTTCAGTTTTTCAGTTCATTTATATTTTATTTGAAAAGATTATACAACTATTGTTATTATTTTCAAAATAATAATTTATTACTATCTCAATTTACTAATAATTAATAAATAATACAAAATAATTACGAAGTAACGAATAAAGGATAATAACTAATAATCTTAATATATTACAAACTTTACTATTAATTGATATAAATTATACATTAATTTTTATATGAGACTTTTGCTTATCGATTAGTTAATATTATTTTTCATATGATTGAATATTTAAATTTAAAAAGTAAATAAATTAATATAAAAGTAATACTGTGCAATTAAAGGTGAATTTATACATTAAATACTCTATTTAGAATCATTAAAAAAAATTCAATTAAAACCCTTACAAAGAATTTAAGAAGCTAAAAAAAATTTCGCATGTACATTTTTTCTTGGCTTAATATTAGTGATTAGTGATATAATTTTACAAAATCAAATAAACAATTATACGAGTTTCACTATTAATCATAGTCATCATAGTCTTTCAAATAAGGATTTATAAAATTCTGAATTATATTTATAATTGTACTTGGATTATACTAACAAATAAAATTTGTATTAATAAGATTGATAACAATTGTAAAAAGTGGTTATCAAATTCAAAATTGTCCGAAACAAATTTATTACTAATGCTGTATCATATAACATTCGAATATTTATTTGTTTTATATATAAAATAATAAGAACAGTATTATTAAGCTTATATTATTAAATATAAACAACAAGAAGCTTAAGTTAAAACTTCTTTAGTTGATTCATGTATTTCTTTAAATATTTGTACTTATTTAATGAAGTTTGGTAGCTTTAGTTTCTTGTTATTTGTGGTAAACATAAATTCTATCAATCATTTCACAAACATAATTTATTATAGTAAATTATTATAACGAACAATGTTATATTTTATGTAATAATTTTTTTTTAACTATACGATTTATTGCTATTATTATATAATCATATTGTATTAAAGAAAATGTTTAGTAATGAAACATAATAAAAATAATCAAAATTAAAAAATTGACAGAAAAATTGTTTGTTTTAGAATTGTATTAATTATCCAAGAATTTAATACCAGTTATGTATTTATAATAATATACACTCATAAATTTATATATGGATATAAATGGATATATATGGATTTAATAATAAACATGATGAGTAGTTTAAACAATAATCTACTCTAATTATTGTGACGCATTAAATTTAGTGTATTATAAATGTCGACTGCTTCTTATTTTATTAGTTAACAAACTATTGATTCTTAAATGATAATTATTATAGTTTTTTTTTTATTTTTTTTTATTTAGAAAACAGAGTTAACATATAATAATAATAATTACGAAAAACAGATTTATATACAATTCAAATTTGAATATAATTATACTGTTCACTAATATAGGTAAAACCAGTTGTTATCTCATATTTTAAATGTTTTATTTCCATATATTTTTGATACATTTTTCTAATCGTAATGTGATGCGACTTTAAACAATTAATCTGTAATTTTTTCACATTATTCTTTGCTTTTATTTCAAACAACCTGAGAATACTATGATAGTATTTAATTAACAAGAATATCAAAAGAAATTTAACAATTTAATAAATAATTGTAAAGAAAAAGATAAGGCATGATACATGTTTAAGAAGCAGATATATTTGGTCCAAAAAGAAAATAATTTGAAAATTATATTTAAATATTTTTTCAATCGTCTCACTTGTTAATTACTATAATATTATAGAAAATATATTATTTACGTGAATGAGATGGATGAAAAACTGAAAACATTGTAATAATTGTACTTATTTTAATCATATGTACACACACATACATATATTATTTTATTTTGCGTATATCTTGATGTCTAAACTACATTATTAACAATATTATTTATTATAACCTTGAATTTTTTAAACTAATTTTCATTTATGTTTTTTCAAGTTCAGTAGCTGATTAAAGCATTTATAAAAAATGTACAATGATATAGTATCTTTGTGTACTATTTATTTATTGTTATCATTTTGATAAATATGTTCAATAAAAGATATTTTTCATTTCATAAAAACGCGTAGATGTACCATTTATACAATTTTATACATTTTATAAATTTAAAATTGTTTTTCGGTTCCACTAAAAATAAAAATAGGATATATGATAATATCTGTATAAGAGATGACATAATTAATAATTATGAATATATATATATATATATATATATATATATATATAAATAATGCGTGTTTATTAATGATATTATTTTTACATTTAACATTGGTAGATCCAAGAGATGTTATAATACAAGTATAATATAAAATTTGCAAAAAACTCCTTACACAAAGATGAACTCAATACCGTTGAGTGAAAATAAAAAATTTTCAAAATATTTGTTCTTTATTGCATAAGTTAACTTTTACATTATTCGTACACGATTGTTGATTAAACGTGAAAATACATTAAAACAACAATGTTTTATCGATTTATATTATTTATTTATTTCTATTTATTCAAAAGCTTAAGATAATTTAAGAATATCACGAATTTAAAATAAAAATAATTACTTGT